CTTCCTTCCTCCGCCCCACCCCCTCTTACACTCGTACGATCTTCTCTCGCCTGTTATCTAAGTGGTTTCTCTGCTCCTGTTGCTGCTGCTTTCTTTCTCCTGTAGCCTCGCGCGCGCGCGTCCACCTTCGTTTAAACTTTGTTTCATCTTACTCGTTTCAGAGATACTCTTCCTCTCTGTTTTAGGTAACTACATCTCATTCATTTTCTTCTTTACATTTATATATATTTATTTTCCGGTTTTCAATGTGCTCTCCCGCCGCGATACACTTTCCTTGCAAGCCATGCTTCTATTGCGTTGCAACCACTCTTTAACCGTTTCTCGTGTGCATCCTGGTACAACATGGACCTGCCGTTAGTTTCAGCAGGATTGAAAAGGAATAATGGTTACTACTTCGTTACTCCGCAGCTTGCACAACCTGCTGGATGCCAGGAACCTTCTCCTGTACTTTTTGCTGTTGATTTTTTGTGTGGCACATCGTTTATATAGTTTCCGCTAGTAAACGAGCGTTTGTTGGACTCTGTTCGCGATTCTTACTTTTCTGTGGCTGTCGTGCCACACCCGTCTTTATCGTTATCGTTCTATCCGTCCGTCGTTGATTCTTCTTTCGAGCTGCACGCGTTATTTTTTCTTCTTCCTATGTTTGTTTGTTTTACAACGTCTCTTCAGCACCTTTCTCTCCTCGTCCCCGCGCGCGCGCTAAAGAGGAGGAGAAATTCAAGCGAATGCATCGAAAAATTATGGATCGCATTCCATAATAATCCGACAAATACGTTTAAATTTTTCCGTCCCCGCATGCTGGTTGTGGTGATGGTGTTGGTGGTGATTGTGGTAGTGATGGTGGTGATGGTCGTGGTACACTCTCACATTTTATTCTTCCTTCTTGGGTTCTTTCTTTCCGAATGGTATCGCAGCTTTCACTCTGTAACGTAATGATGATTATTATTATTATTATTATTATTATTATTATTACGCAGATCAGATAGAAATGCTCTGCTGCGCGATTGAACGAGATTTTCTGTGCACAGGGGAAAAGCTGTTGCCAACGTTTCGATTCGTTCGCTCGACTTGTATTCATTTTTCGGTGGCGACTTACTTATTAGTGAGCTCGTTGATCTTGCTTTGCACCAGGGCGAGATTCTGGTCGATTTGTGCTTTGTTCGTCTCGTACACCTTGGGTAACGTGAACAGGGCGACTACACCTGTGAAATAATGTTCAACACGACGTAAATGAAACTTATCGCGTTTGAGACGTGCATCGCTCGGTCCACGGACATCGCGAGTCGCGAATGCTGAATACCGAGTACGTTTAGAAAACGTCGTGTCGGTATTCTGTTAACATACTTAGGCAAGTATATCCTACGTACGATATACCTATTCGTGTACGACTACTACGAACTAAGATATACCTGCTGGAAAGTCTCTGACCGACGGATCTGGAACCGTTTACTGATCGAGTGATCCGAATGTATTACGTACAATAGAATAGTATGTAACTGTTTTAGACAGGTAAAATGATATGAGCGTGCTCGCGAAGTGCGCGATTCCGATTATCGTGGTCTAAATTTGCTACCGGCATGATTATAGAACTATTTACATAACAGCAGCTGCAGCAGCAGCAGTTTACCAATTATAATTAGAGTCATGCCGTTGAACCAGGAACCCACGTAAGTGAGACACCATAGGAGGACGCCGAATTTCAACGAATCCACGAAATCCTCGACGAGGAAGAGTCTACGAAGTTCACAGACCGCTGCGTTCAAATGCGCGACGGCCACGTCTGCCACTTCGTGCACCTTCTCCGTGGGCAGTGTCAAATCCAACTCCAAAATGTTTCTAGAACATTACGATTAAAATTCGTCATATTCAATGGTCGGGGGTGCGGGTAATGAAGCGAAATGAAATTCTGTTGAACGGGCAAATTTTAACGCGGACGCACATAAAATTCGCGAGAATATTTCGCAGATATTATTTGTACAATATGTTAATAACGCGTTTCTGAGAATGACTGCACGAGAAGTTGACTACTTACTGGAAAGGATGCCCGTCGGAAGTCTTCTGAATAGCCTGAAAAATGGTGTTGTGGATCCTGAAAGCTATGGTACCGGTGAGGACGAGAAGAGACGCGTAAGCCAGTACGCTTATCAGGCTGAAGTAGGCCAACGAGAGGAGCACGCCGAGTATACATCCGAACACGGGGCCCGATTTCTTTGGATCACGCCAATAAATTAGAGCTGCCACTACAAGAGAAGGTAGACCGTGTTATTACGTTGTATTCCACCAAATCAACGAACAGACAAGAGTAAGACAAACGCGCGTAAAGGATGGAACAGAAATAGAAATTACACTTTGAATATTCAATGGTTCTTCGTAATTGAAATCATCTATTCTATACACAGACAGGGTACGATTTTTGGACAAGTTCACGGATGCTATAAACAGTTGTTCGAAGAATCGCCACCCATTCCAGTGGTTCGGTTCTTCTCTCCCAGCCGCCGAAATTCATCGGAATCGGAATAGGAATAGGAATAGAAATAGGAAGTCTGAAAGTAGAGATCACGCTCGTCGTTAAACCGGGTTGGAACGTTGCGATCGATTTCGGGAACAACAGAGGCTACCACCACCTACTCTGTCGATGTTGATATTTTCACGTGGCCAAGTGTTCGTAGACCAACGTATGTTCTGACCTGAAGTAGCCGAGAAGTTCCCGTCACAGACTGAAAGGACGGAAACCTATCGGTGGAGGGGCGGGACTCCTTGTGGGTACCTTTGACCCTTTCCCGCCGGCAGTCCAGTCCGCCAAAGTACTGTCACCGAACGGAGTTTCCGTGGATGAGACCGTGTGGATGTCGGACATATCCGGCGCTCGAAGCGAAAGGGTTAAATTACATCTTCGCACTGAATGGAACTCTGTCATAGTTGTTCCAGCGGCGACGATCGAACGCGAGGTAAGCTGAGTAGGAACCGTTACCACCACCGCCACCACCGCGGTTATCGCTACCGCTTTGCGTTTCCAAACTCTTTGCACTCGTCTTATACACACGGTCGGTGATTGACGGTACTTACGTACACTTACTCGCGTCGTGCTCCGGAATCAGGAGCGACCGCAGTTGAAAGTCTGACAGACTAGGTACACCACAAATATCACCACACCTGCCGCATAATCATAGAGTGATTCGTCCCTGATTAAACCCGGTTCGAAGAACAGTGATGAACGATAGAGATTAAAAATCAGCACGTACGACGTCGAAGGTAAGGCCCTCTAATAATAGAGAGCCATCAGTGAATCCTCGAATTTTCGATATTCGGCTTTGTCTCTAATCCAAAAAAGGATGCCCTACTAAACTGTTTCCAAGGCCCTCTTTCACGACGTCATCTAATCGTCTGCCAAATGAATGTGTGTGTGTGTGTGTGTGTGTGTGTGTCACCTCTGTCCCTATTCTTGATCGAAAGATCGATTCGACCCCGAAAACGTATGCGTTCCTTCGCGGTGATCGAAGCATCGAAACATCGATCGGTACCGTGTGATCGACCGAACCGGTTTGAATCGTTTGAAAGCCGTCACGTTCATCGCGAATACTCGCGCTACCTGGTTTGCCACCACGCTCTTGTTACAATACTTTAGCCACCAAGTTACTTTTCGAAAGGCGTTGTGTTGGACAGGGTAGTAGACAGTGCAGGTTTACGCAAAACATTATACAAAAAGAGTTACGAAGAAAAACATTCGTAATCGTAAATTCTGACTCACGACGACGACGACGACGGCGGCAAAAAAAGAAGGCATGCACGTGACATGACAATGTTCCGTCGGCTCTTGCACGCGCGCGCGAAGGTGACACTTGGCTTCAAGGCGATCAGTCGCAAGAATAATTGATGCGTAATACACGTCATCTGGTAGACTTTATATGGAACGTGTTGGAGCGCGATATAAGTACGCGTAGTACCAATTGTATGACCATAGTCAGGAATAGAATTGTACCGAATGATTATGTTCAATTTTGCACGCGGACACGCAGCAAGTAATGACGGTAATCTGTTCCGATTGTACATTTATCGAAATTTAGAAAATAACATAGAGGCATGACGCGCCAGAATACGTATATAGTACTGACCACGTAGACCAAGAAATGAAAACCTTTTCTCCGATTCACTCGAGCTGAAAGTTCGACTTGAACAACGATGGATCGTTAATATAGACACGGCGGCGAATAGATCGATGTAAGTAAGGAAAGAGATCGAAAATCAAAATAGTTTATTCTACTTGATTTGTGCGTGTGTGCGCGCCGGTTGAAAGTGAAGGAAACTAAATGTACGCGACGGTCGGGGGTGCGGTTTGACTAGGGAAAATCAATAAGTTGTCTCCGGTAGCGCGACGCGACGCCTAGCCGTCGTCGCAATGTCGGCCATTGCCTCTCACCACTCGATCCCTGGAAATATCCACCTGCCGTGCTGTAACCACCACCGGGTATTCCACCCTTTGTTTACTTTTTACCCCAATTATATACCCGAACTCAAACCTTACTGCGACGCGACTTATCGTCTCTTTTTACTGTCGCGTTCCCATGCGAGCCGCCTCCCCCCTTTCAGCTACAGCTGCGAACGTATATAAGACGACGTGATACGTCTAGCAATTTTAGAAAATGAATACTTATGTCGAGTAGCGTAAAATTGTAGAAACCCGCGCGGGCGATTCCTTTTGCTCTTCTAAAAAGATCATATACTATTTTAAAACTGTCGCACTGCGACAGCCGAGCTGGAAGCGGCGGCGGGAAAACTTTGTTCAATCGCGATCGATTCTCTTACACGGTTCGAAGAATACGCGATTCTTTTGGCAAGCTCGATAGCGCGTCCAAACGGAGGTAGCTGCGTCCGACGGACTCGCCGCCCCGGCACCGAAATCGAAGTCTCCGGAACCGAATGCGAAGCGATTCCCCGAATACCCGAAGAGGAATATCAAAGGTTTCGAAGATAGATCGATCGATCTTCACGCTACCATGTGTTAACGAAAACTCGCCGTCGTCTATCGTCGCGCATACCAAGTTCTGAAGAAAACCAACGACCAGGTATAGTAGCAGGTTTATAACGACGTACAACGACGACGACTACTACTGGTTGCTGCTCGTTTGTCCTACCCTACCGAAAAGAATATTCTCTCCAACAACGCGAAGTAGGCAACTACTGCTGTTGCGAGGTGCAACTCGTGCATGCATCTACGTGCACACATGTACGCTTGCGCGACTCCGATCCGATTGTGAAACTGGCAGTCTGTCAACTTGTTCCCGGTGTTCCCTCTGCCGTCGCGAATCAGCTCAGAACCAGGCAACCCGTTCAACTTCTACTCACATTCCTCCCTCGTGATGGCCATCTTTCCTTCGTCCGCTCTCTCTTCTTTTTCTTCTTCTTCTTCTACTTCTTCTTCTTCCTCCTCCTCCTCCTCCTCCTCCTCCTCCTGCTCTCTGTCTGACTCGGGGATTAAGAGACACCGTGAACGGAGAGAAGAGAACGCTAACAACGAAACGAAGCTACTCTCGATTGGACCCTGATACGCGATTCGTTTGGCAGAACTCGCGCGGTACACGATCCGTGGTAGAGATAGACTGCTGCGGCGGACTTTTCGTGCTGGCCGTCGTCGTCGACGAGAAAAGCGGGAGTTCTGTTCGAGCAGTTCTGGCAGATGACCAACAGCCTCGAACCCGGCTGGATGCTATATTTAACCCCGGCTACAGCCGCCAATCGTCTCCGTTTTTTTGGGATTCTCACCGCGGCGACACGAATTCACGTTCGAACGTGATCGGAATTTCCGGAACCGAAACAGAAACGTAAAGAGGATGATTTCTCTGGCGGCGGCGGCGGCGGCGGCGGCTGCCGCGGTGGTGCGTAAGAAACTCGCTCAGCGTCTGGTTAACCTGGTGCTTACCGGAAAACCGAAATGTGCGACCGGTACAGGATCGCTGGATTGTCGATCAGGAATATGTGAAGTTGATTCATTCCAGGTCTGAATTATGAATGAAATCGTCAGAGCGGCTGCTGGTATATCGATGATCGAAACGATGTACTACCGCCGCCTACCGTTCGTACCTACTATACGCAGAGCGTAAAAATAGATAGCGATTTCAATATTTATGGGGGTTCAGGGTATAATACACCCCTTCTGGGTTTCTGGTATCTACTACGGTACGGAATAAGCGACAGAAACAGTTGCTATTGTATTCAGTTCATATTATCGCTACACAATGGTCATGATGGTTCATTCTCCACGCGGTCGTCAACGACGAACAGTCTCGTTCTCAGTCGTCTCCGAAGAAGAGAGAAAAGAAACAAAGGTCAGCCAACGACTCGACTTTTGAGTGCGCGATAGCGATAGCTCGTATGTATTCGGAGAGTCGCGCCTGACGAGTATGTATGGGTAAATGGATAAGGGGAATGCGCGTAAAAGATCAGAAAATATCTGTCGAAAGATAATCAGCAGCAGAGCTCGCGGTGAAAGTAATTATTATTCGTTTGCGAGCAAAATCTCGTACATTCGCGTTTTCAACGCGACGCATTGTCTCGCGTTCTTCGAACGGCAATGACTGTTGAAAACGATTGCGAACGACTATTTTCTGCGTGACACAGCAATTGTCCGTCGAATAAAAAAACTGCAGTCTCTACATTTTTATCTACACAGTCTAGCTGTAAGCTGAGGATAATAAGGAGGAGAATAATTTGGCAGAATACAAGCGGCGGCGGCGGCGGCGGCGGTATTCGCTTAGGTTTCGTTCGATGAATTGTAATGAAATAATGCATACTTGTTATACTATAAGTGTACCATCGTGTATATGTGTAGTATACAATGATTCCGATGAACATGTTTCAACATAGTCTCGCGACACACCTGTACTAATGTGTAATGATAAGCACCTATGCGGTAAAACTAATAAATAATCCGCGGCGTTCACCTTCCTCGTTGTTGTTTTGCTGGTGCACGGTTACCACTACTACTACTACTGCGTAAAGCTATTGCAGTTAAAACAAGGGATGATATCGTCGTCGAGCGAGACTAAGGAACATGCGTCTAATTAATCGATTGTACATATGTGGCTAAAAGAATATGAACAACAAGCGTACATAGCAGACATCGACATCGAACGTAATCGGTCTCTTACCTTTTGGATTCAGTCTGTCAGGATTAAACCATGCGTCTGCAAACAACAGAATCAAATTATGTTAGTTGATTGATTATCGACGACGACGACGACGACGACGACGACGAATGTACGAAGTAACTATTCTACTACGTATGTACATGTATGGTGGTGATGATGATGATCCGTGCCGAGCACGACGATAACGATCATATTTTGTTCTGTACTAGCCACGAATATGTTTCCGTTAGAGAGCTAGCTACCGATCAAGTTCAAAGACAAACGCGATGAACATGGTGTAAAAACATAAGGTGTGTTCTTGCGCATCCATTTGAACGTCCATCTGTACACGGACACTTCCACTCGTTGGCCATTTTGGATTTCTAACCAATCACGCTCTAAAACAGAGCGAATTTTAAAATCCTAAACATGTCAAAAATTAGGTTCTCGGAGTGTAATATATATGCGTGTTTGAAATAAACAATAGGTCATCGTACTTCCAATATGGCCGATGAGTGGAAGGCGCAAACAGCGACACATTTGAACACGCCGGAAGAACACACCTTATGTTTTTACATCATGGCGATAAATACAGCCAAAGCGCGCGACAGTAATCGAAATTGAAACAAAAAACCAAATCAGTTTCCATCGTATTTACTTACTTACTTACGTAAGCTTTTTCGATGCATTCGCGATCGAGCACTGTCGCGCGCGTGCGCGCGCGGCAACCATCATTAATAATTTTCAATTTACCCGTCGTTGAAGGAGGGATATGAATTTCGCATTGAATTAAACAGAGTTATCTTACGCGCGTCTGAAACGATTTCCATTGATTTTCGAGAGGAAGACACGTAACGCACGCAAGATGACGGAGACGTATATTCCCTGTACGAAAAAGAAAGCCAATGTCCGAACAATAATTAACTTGATACAATAATAATGATCGATTGGCGGCAACCGCATTTTGTAAAATTTAGCACCGCGGTAGTGCATTGCGTAATCATCGTTGACCTCGTCTTCTATCTCGGCCTATCTTCGCGCGTACTTCGACTTCGACCGGACAAGTCGATTCAAAAATTTACGCACGTCGTCACGTTCTTCCCAATTCTTTATCTCTAGTCTCTATTAATTACCAGTGGCAAAGGTTAACTTCAGTTATCTACCATAGTCCATAAATAGACGGTTATCTTGCGAATTTATCAGGTATATCAGAAAAATGAACAGCGAACAAACGTTCGTATAGTAATTTAGAATGAAAGTGCCACGTTAGTTTTCATTCTTCTGCGTCGCGTTGCGTTAATGATGGGTGTCCTAGTCGATTTCTCGAGTACTACGCGGCACACCGCCGATGTACCTATTTTATAAGCGAACAAGGAATTTTAAAGGGCTTCTTTACTGTTATCGTTTCTCGCGTATCACGATTAGTTTCACGACTGCCACCGCCGAGTACAAACAATTTTTAATCGTACTACTACTCGAGACTGTACACGAGGCTCCTACCTGCCCGCGTACTTTGTACGCGAGTTGTACGCGTACACGTATACACCTAACCGTTCCTCTTACGTTTTTACGTATCCCTGATCGAGCACTTCTAATTCCTATCGAGAATCGTCGAGTTTCACAAACATCGATCGTAATCACGGCTGGTCGTCACAGGAAACACGCTACATTCGTCGTTTTGTTACACCAGTAGATTTCGGATCAGTAACAATTTACACACGTACCCGGGACGATCCTTATCCTTCTCGCGTCGCCCCTCTCAGACGCGATGATAACGTGCGAAAGAGTATACGATATACGAGCTACTCTTTTCAAGAATGTCTATAACACCCCGATTTCGAGACGCGACGCCATTGCCTGACGATTAATCACGACCTGATTTTCATATCGTGTAGTATTCGACAACGAATCGATATTGTTCATATTAAAAATGTTGCAACGCGGAATTTTAAACGCTTGAATGCGTAAAACGTAATCAATTATAATTTTGTCCGATGCCCATTTGATGATACGAACAAGTGTGAATGTACCCTACTATACGAATCGATCGAGTTGCTGCTGATCGATTTAAATTGTGTTGTACAGCTGATAGATACAACACGTGATCTACCACCTATCGTAAAAAAAGGGCAATTTGTAATGTCTCGCGCGAGCAATATATTTATAATCGTAAAGCCAACGATCAATAACCCACTTACAAATCGCGTTTCTGCTGCGCATGTCAGCCAGTCGATGCACCCGACGCCCCGGGGCTACATGATGCACGTACGAATTGTGTACATGACGTTTCGATTTTTTTCATATTTCTAGTTCTTTGTCTCTATCGTCGATGTCGCACACTGCACACAACCTATTATCTCAATGACTTGCGTAATAAATCATACAAATCATAATAATAACTACGTATTCGTTTCAAACTCGGATCAGACCTTGTTTTCTCCATTTTTCCTAATAAATACAATTCGATCGAACGAATAATACACATAAGAGAGAGAGGGTAAGAAAGAGAAGGGGAAGGAGGGAAGGGAAATACAATAATCAGCTGACCATATGCGTGAAAAATGATCGATACTTATCGAGAGTTTACCAATGAAAAATAAGTTATAAATAAACTATGGCACAATTCTTTATAATAATCTATAAACCACGAAAGAATATTAAACGCGTCTTGTATGATCAACCAGCATTCAACGCTAATTATAAAGCTAATGCGACAATCCATCGCGGTAAAAACATTCTGATCGATGACGACGGCGACGACGATTAATTCGGATTTTAGGTACCGATCATGGATCGTATTGGGCGTGTACTGCGCTATGAATTTTCTCCGATAAATTCCTCCCTCGCTCGTTTCTCGTTGCAGCAGGGTGTTCGAGACTGCTCTTACGAATTATCTGGTGAACGCGTTTTTGTGTAAAATCAAGTCGAAAAAGAGAATAACATTTTCGCGTTTAAGGATTCGTTCTCGAGACAAAACAGATTACAAGTTTTGTCAGCTACGCGTGTATATAATTTGATTTGATTGGCTAAGTTTTGGGACGGATATGTACAAGGTACGCCGCCGGTACAGGATGGGTGGGTATCCTGCTTCTCTCTCTTTCTGCCTATGTCGTCGATACGCGATATTGTACGTTCTCTAACGCGGACAATGGCCACGGTGTATGTTATATACATCAAGGGGCGCGGTAGCGGCCCGAATATACATACATATTCTCCAATAGCGGTTACTATATCATAAAAGTGTATCGTGTATGATACCCTGCTGTCTGCCTGACGACGTTCGTCTAACTCCAACTAAAACGAACCAATTCTTTGATCCCTTTTTCGTCTCGTTATCTAAATCGTAACGATTAAATTCCGCTGTTCGATGGATCAAGTTTCATCTTTAAGCGTGATGTAATTTATCTGGCCGAAATAATGAATCGTTTCTACTCCACCAGTGAACAAATGTAATAAAATATCATAAACGTTGTTGGCATAAAGAAAATATACGATATACAAACAGAATAATGTAATAGATTCGCTGTAGAATATGAAACGTTTCACGTACACGCGGAGAATTACATGGAGAAACTATGTGTGCGTGAATGAACGTGTGTAGGTTCGCGTCGTACCGATTAGACCTCACACTTCATTTCCATGTCAAAGCACACTGACTGACCGGTCTCACTGATTCTAGTCTAGCGAGTGAGTGTGAGCGCGTATGTACGGGACTAGCAACGAGACGGGAGTCGCAGCGGTGGCTCTGGTGGTGCTGTCAGGCAGCCCGGAACCAGAACCACCCTAGGATGTTCGTGTGTGCCCCTAGCGTTCCTAGTTGAATCGTGGAGAAATGAGAAAATGAGACGAGACAAAAGAACAGGTGGAGAGAAATGAACATACACGGATCAAGAATATTCCAGAAGCAAGAATTGCTAGTTGCTACAGCGGAACACGAATTCTTGCAAGCTGCATTGGCGGCTGCATCTTCCTTCTCGTTCCCGGGGGAGACAGGGCACGCCAGCGGCTCCATTCTCATTTCCTCCTAACCTTGCGTCTGAATAAAACCAAGGACGAATCGCATTCGAGCACTACCCCGACCCGGACGACGACACTGTCCAATCGCGAGCTAATCGCAACGAAGTAAACGACGCACTTCCCCCGATGCGCAGCCTTCACAATCTCTTCGCTCTTGCGGTATTCGATTTCACTGACTGATTTAGACAGACTTCCGCGCTCAAGTATTCGAATCTTCGACTTTTCGGATCCCGATTTCTCGGTGCAGGTTAGTTTTCTTTTCCGATGCGCGAAACAATTTTGGTCTGTTCGAGATTGAAAAGCTACTACGTACAACGTTCACCGTGACGACGATACGACACGGATCGAGGTGAGAACGAGACTGACTATGCTTCTAACAGGTATGTATTATCGACCCGTGGACAGTTCCAGATATCCCCACCCCACCCACCACCACCACCACCTCGCTGCTCGCGCCCCGGCCGGGAACCGAGGGAAGAAACTGTCCTCGGTTAATTTTCTCGATAAAAGATGGTGCGCGCTTAACGGTTCCGAGTAACGGAGCACGCGCACGTGGCTTGCGTACGCCAGATATAAGAGAATAATCTGATAAAAATACAACCAGAATTACTATAATTCTCATGTGTCCGTCAGCCGTCACATCAAACTTGACAGTCCTGTTCATTCTAAAATCATCTCTCAAATCCTGAACGCGTAAAATCATATCCGTGCACATGGATACGAATAAGAAAAAGACCTCGACAGTAGTTTGCTGCTCGCCATAATGATCTCAATTTTCGTACATGTCTACGCAAATACTCGATGTTCAATGTAGCGCCAAATACGTTTGCGTAAATGACGTTTACCGGTAAAAGATATATTCCTGTATATCGCGCGCGAATACTATTCCCGTTGTCTTGCCGCTGCTACCCGAAAAGAGGTCGTCACCAGGTACCATCGGGTGGATAGATGATACTGCACTTGTACACACGTATACGCTGTATTCCCTTGTCCGATCGATATGGAGAAGAAATACGACGACGACGACAACGACAACGGGTTACGTACTTCGAGATACCGAATCCTGAAATCATCATCTGCCGTAAGTATTGATATCGTGGCAAAAGAGTGAATAGTGATCCGACAAGTTCATCGCCGCCGCCGCCGCCGCCGCCGCTACCGCCGTTGAGTCACGCAATTATACGCACAAGATTAAATATGACATCATCGTATATAGTAATCTACAACGTGACAAATATCGCCGATTTCCTCTACCAGGTTAATCAGTTTTTAAGAAAACTTTGATTTGTCTTTGGTACGCAGCAGCTTGCTTGTTGAAAGAACACCCGACGGCGATGTGTGCCCGAGTACAACGGCTGAACGCTAAGCATGAACTTACGATGAGAAACGAAAAATGTCGTAAGGAACGGAACGCGTTGCTCGGAATAAATAATATCAAAATCGAACGCAAACTGCTGTTATGGCAGTGACGCTGTAGTCAAGCGGAAGCATGGTTCACTCCCTGCGAATATCTGATTAAATTCATTAACATCTCTCGCTTACTACTACCCCCACCACTAATCTTAGTTTCTGCTGTCGTGACTTTGGAGGTCGTCGATGTATGTACGTGCATTTCAAAGTAATTATCACTAATAATTAGCAATGAGTATTTCTATTATCGATGCTCGTTTCTAATTTATGTCGTCGATTTTCAACTTATGAAACGGTAAAACGGATGAAATCGTTAACAAACGTTGCACGACTCGGCGACTATACTTGGGAACCGAAGTTTGCGATGCGAGATGCAAAAAGTGAAACGGGTTGTGGTCGTTAAACGAAAAACAGAAGACAATGCACTCACCGATACCTATGCTCCTGAAGATCTCCTTCGGTGCAATTTCCACTTCTTCCACCCGCTCCTCTCTCGTCGTCACTTCTTTCTTCGTGGCAGGTGGTTTAAAACTCTTCGCCGGCGATGATTCAACTTCCGATTCGAATTCGGACTCTGTGGCGGCGGCGGCGGCAGCGGCAGCAGTTTTCGATGCACCGATCCGTCCATCCTTTTTTTCTGCATCTGCGGCAACCACCACGTGTTGTTCACTCTCTTCTTTTCTCTCTGGCTTAGAAATCGTCAACGACGGCGGCGGCGGCGGCGGCACGGATGAAGGTTTGTCGATGACGTTCCACGCGTCATCCAATTTGGAACTTCCGACGGTGGACGATACGATTGCTGGTTCCCGCTCCACCACAATCTTGTTTTCATCCTTCATCTTTCCTTTGCCTGCCGCCGCGGTCTCTCGCGTTTCTTCTTCCTTTTTACCTATCGGTTCGACCTTCATAACTTCCGATCGATCGTCTATCGTGCCTGATAATAGATCGGATTCCTCCTGCGGCGGTGGTTCCTGCGATCTAACCTCGCGCTTCATGTCGTCGACCGGTGTTTCTTTCTCCGACTCCAGAAACAACATCGTCGTCGTTTTTCTTGGATCTTCCGTCGGCTCGCCACTGGACGACAATTGATTCATGGAAAAGTTGATCATATCTTCTTCCATGTTGAAATTCGGTTTCGGATTTTCGTCTACTCTCTCACTGCTGCAGTGAGCCTCAAAGTGACTAGCCGCCGATGATTGTCCGTCCTGGACGTGTTCGAGATGCTCGAAGTCGTCCATCGAATCGTGCTCCCTTCTGATTGGTTGCTCCTTCTCCTTCAACTCGGCCATCTTTGGTGCACGCGAGAACTGTTATCCTGCTGCTGCTGCTGCTGCTGCTACTGCTGCTGCTGTTGTTACTACTACTACTACTAGTACTACTGCTACTACTACTACTGTTACTCCTGTCATATAGAACTCGATTTCTCGTATGTCTTATATATTGTGATACGACACGATATTGTCTATACTTCTACTTTTGTCACTTTTATCAGTTTGTAATGATTTTGTCTTGGACGACACCTCTCCTACTACGTTTCGTGCAAATTTTACCTACGGTCAGAACAATTTATACGTATTTTCACTATCTTCGAGAGCACGTCGATGACGTTTATAATCAGTATGACTGTTTCCATCACACCCCCTTCACGTGTATCTATACATACATACAGTGTTCCACTTGTACCAATCGTTAAAATTCGTCTAACGCGTTAACACCTTTACATTAGTTCATTATTATTGCAGCTGTAATTTATTGATATATGTTAACGGTAGCGGCCACGGAAACGTTTCATTCGAAATGAATAAAACCGGTTTAACGTTGTTCACTGGTCCACGGACAGATTCGATTCCGACCACAATGAAACATGTCCAACATGTTCTCGGACTCTCGGAATGAGTTCATGGGGTGGTATACTATACCAGGTATGGAGTATGGGGTATGACTGTGCGTATGCGTCAGAAGGTTTTGCCCCCTTCAGGTACCCACTATTTCTGTCTGACTGTAGCAGGAACGTAAGTACGTATGCGGCCGGCAGATGGGAGATGAACGTGACGAGCACAAACTGCGAAACACAAAGATGGCTCCTTGATATCCATCCGCTTTCTTACTATAGTTTGGACTTTTGCCAATCGAGTGACAGTGGCAGCAGTATTGCGGCAGCACCTACTGGACGAGAAATTATGCGAAAAGATGCGAATATTCACAGCCTACTTTAATACCACAGCCTTCTTCAATACCTAGCCATGCTAAGAGTAAAATGGCAACACCGAAGGAGTCCGGCCTCCTATACCTAACTCAACCTGCCCCATCGGACTTCAAACATGCTCCCAACTTCCCTCTATCGGACTCTCGGTTTCCCGCCTGTTTTTCAAATGTTTCTTCTCCAAAAGATAAACTCACACGAGGCTTGACTCGTAAAATGTAGGAAGCAATAAGAAAATTTGTCAGGAATAAGGCAGGTAAGGTATCGCGCGGTAAATGGCACGCGTCTGTGTTTATTTATTATTCCTGCAAAGAAGAAAAGAGAGAAATGTATACCATTTTTTTATTAATAAATGTAATACAAAGCATTAATAAATGTTTATTTAAGACTATAATGGGTGTTAGGGCTAAGTATTTTCTTTTTTTTTTGTTTTTTTTTTAAGGANCAAAAATTAAAAACGGTTTTACAATTGTACGTGTAAAGCAGTGAGAGAATAAACTACGTCTATTAACGATATACCTTTATGTTGTACGTTCACATTTTCATTCTGCATTTCTTTTGGAAACTGTTCAGTACATAATCCTTTCAAAGTAAGCCCTTTGGTAAGTAACCTAGCGATTATCTTTCGATTTCTTCTCTATGTGCTCTTCCATTTATATATATGTTCCTAAAAATATAATGTAACACGTCATGTTATGCATCTCACAATTATTGTTTTGAATACTCATTACTTTATTACGATTGTCTCATGAAATATCATGACGACACACATATTCAACATCCATGTTCCAGGCGAATCAGACGAATAAGCATGTTCAAAATCAGGCGGGACCGCACTGAGGGCACCACTTGTGGGCTCAAACAGAGCTGTTTTCCCCCTCATGCCTTTGGGAGCCCTCCCCTCGCCCATAATCCCACTTTAGGCACCGTCCTTTAAGTCCATGCTTTAGTCCATGCATCGGGCACAATTCCCAAGAGAGAGTGATCATACTGGTATTAGGTATACTGTGGTGGTATCGCTGTCGAACAAGTAACTACCGTCGAGCCGAGCCGCGACGACGACGACGGCTGCAAGTGTGTTATGTCGACAAGAATAAGAATGTTGACGTTTAATTCGAGCCGTCGGAAGCAGCGAGTACGCGTCGTGCGAACCTCGTGAATAATGTCGACAGTTTCCTCGTTGTACGCCGCACGTAATCGTGATAATGTTACGCGCCGCGGAATTCACGTCAAACCATAAGGCTTCATGAACGAGCGTTCATCGTACGCGCGAGGGCTTTGGCTCGAACTGTGACGCGCCATATTGGTTTTATTATAAGAGAATTGTTCATAGATAGTTAGCGGAGCTGTGGGTAGATCAGTTTTTTATCGTAAATGCACGCCGAGTAACCGAGTTAACAACGTCGAGCGAACAATGGAAGAGACTAAAATCATATATCACATCGACGACGAGGAGACCCCTTACCTGGTGAAGCTGACCATCTCGCCGGAAAGGGTCACTCTAGCCGACTTCAAAAATGTCTTGAATCGACCGAATTATAAATATTTCTTCAAATCAATGGATGATGATTTTGGGTAAGTGCCGCCTTCCTCGATTATCAACGTTTCCTCCTCCCTGCCATCCTAAAAATTAACGATTGTCACCGTCGGACATCGTTTATCGTCTTCGAATCGAGTCAATGCCCTACGACCTGGTGCGATTTGAACGTGTCAACTATGTACGATCCGCTCGGAAGGCACTCCAATTTCGAGTCGTTTCCAGTCACGTTTCGCGTTCGTTTCTCCCGTTCTTCCTGACAGATTGTTTCCGGCTCTATTTTCGAACACCTTTTTTCACTCGTCGTCCAGCGGCCGTCTGTTAAGTGTATTCTTTTTTTTCACCTGTTCTTTCTGACTGTCGGCCTTTTGCAAAAGTAATTGCTGCCTTTCGTGCATCCGTTACACTTTGCACACATTTCAAAGATCCAGTCAAGTTTCCTTTCCCATCCCATGAACATTGTTCCTACATTCGAATATGCATTTTACCGGTTGACACTTTATACGCACTATGTATCTCATACACGTGTGTAACAGATTGATGTGAAATGCGATTGCGATTTTCCCTCACCCATTTCTATGAGCGCATTAAACTCTGTCCACCTCCCAAGTAATCTGTGATTGTAACAGTATTTGAACGGTACTTAATTACAACAAACATTTTTGCTGTTAGAGTGGTGAAAGAAGAAATTGTAGATGACGATGCCCACCTCCCGTGTTTCAATGGACGAGTCGTTTCTTGGGTGAGATTAATAATCTTTCATTTACATATTACGAGCCTTCGACAAATTTTCAATGAGACGAGGCGGTGAAAGAAACCCGCATCACCTTTTGCATTACGCTTGGCGGGTCGTCGACGAGCATGTCTCTGTGTCTTTGATGCGTCCATCGTTAGATAACGCAGATTCTATGGTGTACCTACATGGTACATGAATATGTAGATGGTCGTAATAATGTACGTAAGTCTGAGAATGTCCCGATTCTTCGTTTGTTCATGGGACAAAGCGTAGGGATAATTCATTTGACCAGAGAAATAGTATGATAAGACAAGTTATTGACGAAATGAGCGACAGAGTTTTTAACGAAACGAATTTATTTACATAGCTGGTATCTGCTGAAGGCAGCAATGTGTCGGACGGCGCGTCGCAGTGCACAGATTCCGTGGCACATAGCGAGGCGAAGCACGATCGCATAGATCATGTGACACCAGGTCATACGACTCGTGGCCCACCCCCGTTGTCACACGACGACACCTTGACCGAAACAGAAAGTATCACGAGCAGCAGACAAGGGCATCACTTGCACAAGAGTTCGAGACATCATACGGATAAATATGAAAAATACAATAAATACAACGGTACGTCGTTGATACTGGTTGAAGCGAATCGATTCGTATTATTTCCAATGCTAAATGATTAGTTGCGTTCGAGGAGTGCACACAGTAGCATACGCTTTACCCCGTTTCATTCGTGCGGCGACGCTACGATCAAGCGTGAATCAGCGAGAGAGTATACCTGTACGCGACGACGACGATCTGTATTTTATAACGTCGAATTTGTCCAAAAGCTCGTCTCTCGGCAGACTAATCATTTACGACTTCTTGTGACGTGACTCGGAATGTTCCTCGATCGCACAGTCCGCGAGTCCCGCGGTTACGAACAGTAAAGATAGCAAGTAAGTCTGTTGTTGTTGTTCATCACCTATCGTTTTTATTTGTTTATTGACTCAGGACTTCGTATAAATGGTCATTCGAAGCACAGATCGGGCCATGGTTATGAGACTGCTTCTATTTTAAGTTCAGATTTAGAGACAACAACATTTTTAGAGTCGGATGATGATGCTAGTAGCCGCATAACGTCTACCACAGGCAGGCACACTAATATGAGTAGCACGGTCGACAGAGCAACTTTAGGTAACGAATGCTGGTTAATTAATTAATAGTGATAGAGAATGAACGTTCCCGCCGGAAGATCGACATCGAGTTTATACTGTGCTCAAACGCGATACAGATCGGCGTAGGCCACAGAGGAGAAGGCGTCACCGGTTACCACCGATGTCCAGGACATCGTCCTTTAGCAGTATCACCGACAGCACGATGTCCTTGAACATCATAACGGTTTCACTGAACATGGACACCGTTAATTTCCTTGGAATTAGTATTGTTGGTCAGAGTAATAAAGGCGGAGACGGTGGAATTTATGTCGGTTCAATAATGAAGGGGTACGTGTTGTTGGATCATAAAAAGTTTGCAATTATCTATCGTACGATCTTACCCTGTACAATGAATCATTGGAACAGAGATTGGAACGAAATAGCGTAGATCGCAACGTTTGCGCACATGTATACACACGGTATTGTTATTATTGTTGGTGATGTTGTTGTTGTTATGATTCAGAGGGGCGGTTGCTCTGGACGGACGAATAGAACCTGGCGACATGATTCTTCAAGTGAACGACATTAACTTTGAAAATATGTCCAATGACGAGGCAGTGAAGGTGCTCCGCGAAGTAGTTCAGAAACCAGGGTACGGTGAAAGTAGCAATAACGAGATGAGTTTAATGAAATGTCGTTTAACATCGATCGATCGTTCGTTTCCGTAGACCGATCAAACTGGTTGTAGCGAAATGCTGGGATCCTAATCCGAAAGGCTATTTCACGATACCGCGTACAGAACCCGTACGGCCTATAGATCCCGGTGCTTGGGTGGCGCATACGGCCGCTATAAGGGGCGAAGGTTTTCCACCGCGTCCGCCGAGCGCTACCACATTGACGTCGACGTCGAGCAGTCTAGCGAGCACGCTTCCGGACACGGAGAGTGAGTTTCCGCCTTTCTACCCGCCCACGCCCCCCCCCCCTCCCCGGCTCAGAAAGGTAGCCGCTGCCGATATGCGATACAAACTGAATGTGACGAGTAAAACTACACGTTCTAATTAGGACCATTAGAAGAGCTACACCTGACAGTGAACACGGACATGCCGACGATAGTGCGAGCGATGGCTCGGCCGGATTCAGGCTTGGAGATTCGCGATCGCATGTGGCTGAAAATAATAATACCGAACGCCTTCATCGGAGCGGACGTCGTCGATTGGCTGCATACTCACGTGGAAGGATTTATTGATCGACGTGATGCAAGGAAATACGCGTCTCTGATGCTGAAAGCTGGTTTTATCAGGCATACGGTGAACAAGATAACGTTCTCCGAACAATGTTATTACATATTCGGCGATTTGTGTTCGGCGATGAGTAGCATGAAATTGGAATGCGACACGGTCGGGCCACTACCTCCACCGAATGCTTGGGACATGCCTTATTCGGGAACGTATACACCCCATTCCGCGACTGGTTACAGTCCGATGCCATTTAACTTCACCAACGAACCAACCGTGTACGGATATCACCGGGAAGAAAGTGTTCATAGCGGTTCAGGTGAGAGTAGCAGCGGTGATAGAGATGATAGCGGTGGCGGCGGTGACAGTGACGGAACGTCTCGTCGGAACGCGTTCCAACTTCCAATAAGTCTGTTCTAATAATAATAATACGATACGTTTTATCAGGCGGCAGTAGCGCGGGTAGCGAGCACATTTGCAAAGAACCTATTCACGATTTGAAGTCTTGCTCGTCGGCGTCCGAGTCCGAGCTGCATATTCCGTCGGTCCCAACGATGCCGACTAAGAACTCTGGCAATGGAAACAGCTCGAACGGAAAGAGATCGAACGGCAGTCGTAGTCGTTCCAGTGGCTCTGAACAGTCCGTGCAGACGGGAACTGGCTCGGGAACTCAGCAGCAGCAGCAGCAAAACCAGCAGAACCAGCAAGACCTATCTGGTAGTAGACAGTCATTTCGCATTGCGATGGGAAATCCGTGTGAATTCTTTGTTGATGTTATGTAGATGCCGGTGTTGTAAATAGATCAGCAGCAGTCGTCGAGCTTCGAACGAATACTTTGAAAACGATTCCGATTCTTACCCAGCGAGACCGCGTACAGATTTTACTCCACCCGTTTGGCGAAGACGAGAGCCTTCACGAACGTGTGTTGGCAATCCCGCTTCATTTTCTTTTCTTTCGACGGTATTTCAAAGTATTTATTCGTTGCCCTGTTCACTGTTTACTTTTTCAGGTTTATATAATTCGCATTTGAAGTTTTACTGTATGTTATCTCCACTTTTGCATTCCACTTTGTACCATGTACTTGGCAGTAACAATTTATCCTTGAGAATTCGTCTCTGTTAAACGTACTTTGTATCGATTAAAATGTTTGCATGTAACGCGTAAATATACACACACGCGTGCACTAATCTGATCTAAGAAAAGGAAAAAGAAAGGGAAATTTGCACAATGACGCGTGAAAAGTGCGCGAATTGAGCAAAGGGCGAAACAGACATTCCTTCTTGCCCCGTGAATTTTGATCGGTTCTCGAGCGTCATCTTTTTTGAATCGGCAGTAGTCACCGACCGACCGACCGACCGACCGATCTAGCAAAGTAAATTCCTGGTTTTTTTCGTTTGGTCGACACAAAGTTGGAACTTGTACTACTCGACGGAATTCGACGGACATAATTACGGGGAGAGGGTACGAACGGTGAAATTGTCGCGATTAAATTTACCGTAGGAGACGAGAGGGATAATAATGTAAATTGTAAATTGATGCATGAGTTGCGCGCAACTGGTCTGTCGAGATTTAGCATAGACGCGTTGAAATGAGATCGCGATATCGACGAGACTGGTAGTACAACTGATATGTACGAGTACGAGACAGTATTCGATGTTGACGATCGATTACATATATTATACACTATACTGCACGCTTGATATTATAAATATGTTTTACGGTGTACTTGTTGAGATGTAAAGCACGATCGCACACGAGGTAGAGCACAAGCATGGTCATGTAAATAACACACGCGGTTCGCGTCTCGATGAATTGGCACAGTGAACGTTAAAATAATTCGCTACGTAATGCATGTACATTATACTTGATTTAATTAAATGAAAGGAGGAGGTACGTATTTATATATTAATGTTTTTCCATTGCTTGCGTTCTAGGATTGTCTACGACAATGGGGCAGCTATTTCTTTAAAATCGAGAGGATATTGTTTCGAAATGTTGAACGATTCACTAATTATTATTATTATTATTATTATTATTATTATTATTATTATTATTATTAATTGACGCGAATGGTTTTCTAAGAGTAATCTATCCTTTAAGAGTAACAAAGTATATATAAATGTATGTAGAAGACTATACGATACGAAAATGTTATTGTATATCGGACGAATTATTGGTGGATCATTTAAATGATATCGCGTATTGTCCGTGCGTGGAGGACAATTTTTTCATTGTATTCCTATCGATTCGAGCCATTATTTGCCGATGACCGAAGTTTGCAGTTACATTACGTGGTATCGCATCGCAAGTTCGACAATATGTAAATAGGACGTAATACACGCTCATATTAAATGTGCCATTTTATCAATGTTAGAAAGTACGTACTAAATGAGAAGAGATGACAACTACGACATATAATTTATATAGTACGCGTACACGTACACGTACGCTTATTATACGTATAAGCATACGCAAGCTTTCTGCAAGATGTACAACATTGAACACTTTCCATTTCTTTATCTCTGTCGATGCGTTTCACATTATCGATTTACGTTTCATTTCCGTTCCGCGTCTCTTACGTACATACACACGTTGTACAAGGCTTATTTAATTGCAACGTTCGTCGCGTACGATTACGATCTTGCCGTTACATTATTATTAATATTGCTATTATATTTACATTTTTACTTAGCGTGTCGCGTTCTATCTAGAGAACGTTCTTTTTATGTCTTATAAAATACTGCTAGAAAATATTTTGCGTATGATACGTATAAATGTGTCGGTCGGCGGCATCGCTAGAAGACTATGGCCGGTATTCAGAGTCGTTGCTTAGTCTTAAGATCGCCTTGAGCATCTGCTCAAGTCCCCGTCTCCTGTACAAGCCTGGGACTGGAAATACGGGATAGACAGGGATGGCAAATGCTTAAGACGATCTTAAGGATAAGTAACGACTCTGAATACTGGCCTATGTTCTAAGTCATAGAACACACGGTGTGGCGACCGTTCTTCGTTTATCTAAGATATCTCGTGTCGAAGAAAGTAATGTTCAGCTTCACTCGGTTCTTCTCTCTTTTCGTTATCGATTTCATTACTTTTTTTTACCTTTACGCGAATTATTCCAAGAGATAGCTTCCTTAATATTTGTAAAACATATATCATAGCCGATATTATCACCTGACAGTTTATAACATAACATACAGTCGTGGTTGAAAACTCCATGGTTATCCAGTTGTGTAATTTTTCAAAACCAACTACCGAAGCTTCTTCGTTCTATCTCTCTTTCTCTCACAACACCAGTATCGTTTAATTAAAGCAACTCGTAATTATTATCGATAAACAGATACTTTTCATATCGCAGAGATCGATCCCCGGTTTGATAGACTCGAGTAAGAGAGATTGCACGAGAAATGTTTCCGTTGGAAAATTAAGCATTTCGACTGGATGCAGACGAAAGAAGATAGTAGTAGGGCTGGGTCCATCCTAATAATTGAAACGTCGTGATAACGACAAGTCCGATGGATTGACCGATGCGAAATTAATGAACAAAACAACATTTTGTTTGTGTGTGTGTGTGTGTGTGTGAGAGAGAGAGAGAGAGAGAGAGAGAAAGAGAGAGCGCGAGCGCGCATCGATATAAATCATTTGATGCGGATTTGTCGTTGTACGATGTTCAAACTAGGACGTAGGATGAATCGTTGAACTATTGAACAAACATGTTTTTACTTCGCTTCAAACAAATCATGTAACTCGACGTTTGAGAAGGTATAAGTTTACGGAAACGTTCATCGACGTCGTTATGATACGCATCAATCATTATACATTATTCTGTACGATATAAAATATTTTATGTTGCAGACACAGGTTGTACAGTATGTTTGAGAAACGCAAAATTGGTGATTGGGACCATGGTGTAAAAACATAAGGTGTGTTCTTGCGCATCCATTTGAACATCCATCTGTACACGGACACTTCCACTCGTTGGCCATTTTGGATTTCTAACCAATCACGCTTCATATTAAAACAGAGCGAATTTAAAAATCGTAAACATGTCAAAAATTAGGTTCTCGGAGTGTAATATATATGCGTGTTTGAAATAAACAATAGGTCATCGTACTTCCAATATGGCCGATGAGTGGAAGGCGCAAACAGCGACACATTTGAACATGGCGGAAGAACACACCTTATGTTTTTACATCATGATTGGGACGTGACGAGAAATTTAAGCGTAGAGTTTAAATGTTGAAAAGACGCGCGCGAGAGAAACGGAAAGACGAGACGGAGATGCGTACTAATTTTGCGAGTCACAGGCATACTCGGAATTTGGTTTATTTCATNGTATACCAGATATACATTAATATACACATTTGTGATATACTGAAACTTTTATGCTCTCCCTAATGGAAGGAGGAAACGATTTTTCAGCGTGTTCCTCTAGACGCCTTATTTATTGGAATATTAACCGAGTACGTATTTGTTCAAAGAGCCGTTCCCCGGGGCGGAACAGATAGTTTTAAGTGCCGTTAAACGCGCTGAGATATGTAGAAAGAGAGTCGGAAACGACGGAAAAACGAAGGAGAAAATGGGCGTATAAATCTGAGGAGGCTGCCGCGGCGGCGGAACATCATCGTTGTCTGCCAGCTGGTTTCCGTCACTCAAGCCGTTCCTTTGATCCGCCGCGTGGCACTTAACCGCGTTTTCGAACTTAATTTCGACCCGCTGGATGCGCGCCTAACGTCGCCTCTCAGTCAGTTCCAGCTTGTTTTCGCCGCGGCGTGTAATGTCAGAGTCGAGAGGATTTCGGAACTCGTCCTAATCCTCTCCTCGTTCGCCCGTGACAAAGCAAAATCACTGGCGATTTTCGCTTCTAATCCTCCTTGGGATTTTCCAAACGAGGTTTATCGCCCAGATGCCTTTGGCACCGTGATAACTGAAAATAAAAGTAACACGCTGTGTTTATACATGGTCTGAGGAGGAAATCACCGAAGGTTTCCAAGGAACGTTAATACGTTTGCATAACGTACGAGCCGACGTTCTTTTGAGAATTTCCAAGCCCGTTTCCAAAGTCGTTAAAATTATGAATAGAAGTACTAAAATCGTTTTGAAGGATGAATAATAAGACAGGAGAACTTTAATTATGAGACACAATGTACAATAGGAAGCCAAGGTGCACGTAGCAAGAGAATTGATGTGAAATACGTGGACGATATTTCTGTCGTCTGCGGCGGAGTAATTGAAAAGAGTTCCGCGGGCGCAACAAGAGCGGGAAAGATAAATGGCAAACATCGGACAGGGCTAATGGACACGTTTAAAAATCAAAGGCATGTAACGCGCGCGGCAACTGTCTCTCCGAGTCCCTCTTAATTAAGTATCTCTCCTAGTCCGCGAATATACGTCGGTGCATGCACATAGTACGTATATACGTGGGCATATGTATAGTATACGTCAGTTGGCAGCGCCGCGGAACGCTTTGCGATGCCGTTGACGTCCGGGAAGACACAAAACACGCCGGACACAGGCGCGCCATTTGTCATCCCCACAATTAAGGTCGAATTTGTGACAACCACTTAACGGAATAATGCATCAGGATTCGAGGACTGGTTTTTGGCTCTCGGCTTAATAGTTCAAAGCCACTCCGCGGAATGATAGTGCGGCCGGAGACCCTCTTCCGACGTGCCTCAAACTAGTTTCAATTCTCACGAATATACATACATAATCGGCGGTTATTATGTGCACGCTGTGTCGTTGCTTTCTCAATTATGAACCACTAGTAAATCCTCTTGACGATATCCGTTGGTTACTTGTGTCACTTCAAATGGCTCCATGTACAATGAAAACTAGTTGTAATAAATTAAACGACTACCCTTTAGCTTAGAAAAAAACCAGTCTTAATATCTCCATATTCCGTTATTGAAATAATTACGTTTCAGTAACGGGTAACGAATTTTGAAAATATATTTCTACCCATGATGTAAAAACATAAGGTGTGTTCTTGCGCATCCATTTGAACATCCATCTGTACACGGACACTTCCACTCGTTGGCCATTTTGGATTTCTACCCAATCACACTTCATATTAAAACAGAGCGAATTTAAAAATCGTAAACATGTCAAAAATTAGGTTCTCGGAGTGTAATATATATGCGTGTTTGAAATAAACAATAGGTCATCGTACTTCCAATATGGCCGATGAGTGGAAGGCGCAAACAGCGACACATTTGAACATGGCGGAAGAACACACCTTATGTTTTTACATCATGATTGGGACGTGACGAGAAATTTAAGCGTAGAGTTTAAATGTTGAAAAGACGCGCGCGAGAGAAACGGAAAGACGAGACGGAGATGCGTACTAATTTTGCGAGTCACAGGCATACTCGGAATTTGGTTTATTTCATTTTTTATTTGTTGCGCCGCTCTAAATGGACCTGCCGCTGCCGCTGCTGCTGCTGCTTTCTGTCTAATAACGAAAAAAAGAAACTAAACGTAGAAACGAGTTTTCTCCTTGCAACTTATACATACGTGTTGCGTTGTTACGTGCACTGGATTAGAGACGGCTTGCCGCGCGCCGCCGTGTCAAAGACACAATGATCGAGTCGTTTTTGTGCCTTGTGCCGCGATGACGGTCGACGCAGAACAACGGCGTGTGCACGAGGAAACTCGTACACAGACTAGCGATTTGGACAACAATAGCAGAGACAATAACTGTGAGTGTATTTTATTTTGTCACACATCGCGTGACTCACCACCGCCGATACCTTATTTTCGTGCTCCGTCGTTCCGACGTATTTAGAGTAATAATTGATGATACGTTCCTTACTCGCATTTAGATCGACTACCACGTCCACGGTTCCGCTATACTATACCTTTTATCGTTGACCATACGTTTTCTGTTAATTAGCTCGTACATTTGATAACACAGTATGTTTTTTTATCTTAGGCTCCATCGAACAAACCGTTTCTCTGTCGTAATTATTGTATTACATCTACTTAAATAGATACACAGCAACGTGCATTTTTGAACCTGCCTTGAGGTAATCACACCGATCGTATGTGCTTGTTTCAAGTTTCAAGTACTGGATTGTGTATGATTTGTGAAAACGAATGAATTCTCTATACATACGTAGTTTTATACATAGTTGAACACTTGCCCAGGCCTAATGCCCTCTCTGTCTGTACATTGTCGACGAGTAGTTTACGATGTCACTATCTCGCATAGATCCGACAGATCCGCGGACGTATGCACTCTACGAGCTACGACGAGGCAAACACTGTACGTAGTAACTTGTTAATTCTCTTGTCGTACTTACCCGTAAACGTATACTTATAACGTAAACTTTACCGATCGTTTTCTTTATTTTCTTTTTATTACTTATTGTTCGTCGAAATGATGAGTATATTCCCATGTCGCCGCGTCATAGTGTGTATGTCCTTTTAGTGCAGCCGAAAGCAGCCGCGAACGACACCCTTCCACGGGGCTCGGACGAGACTAAAACGCACGTTTCTTTTTTGCAGACGAAGAAGACATTTTGGAGTACCAGTTTCTGCACAAGTGAAGAACATCGGTCGTTAACGCAATACGTATACGTGACGATGGTAATAGGAGAGTCGGAAGAATGGAAGTCGACAAGGTACATTTCCATTCGATTCAATTTCAATCGAAGACGGACAGACGTATAGCAAACGCGCGAGACGTATAATTTAAATAGACGAATTTTTATAAAAACGTCATAGAAGCGTAAAGAATTTAAACTACCGTATAATTTGTAATGGCTATACATTAAACGAGAATGAAGATAGGTTTAAGGCCAAATCGAATTTTTACGTGGTATTTGATATCACTCGAGAACGTGTATAACGCGACGTATTTACACGACGAGTCTTCGACGAAAATATGGCGAGGAACGATGGCGAAGAAAAGCGTGTTTTTTAACGCAGGGTGCATGTAGATCGAGATACGAATCCTCGTTAATTCGACGAATAGGTGTTGTTTATGAACGATATATTCCCGCCGTTCCGTTTCTTTCGATTGCCCCGACGAGGACGATCACTTTTAAATATTTCCTTGCTGCATTCTTTATATCGTTCATCGCCGTAGTCTCACCGTAGGAACGAACTTTCTGAGTTGGTTGTGAACTATACAGCAGGTATATTGCCCTTAGAAAGCTAAAATTCTGTTTGAATTCCGTTGTCATTCTCTTTACGTCGACGACGACGTCGTGAGTCGCGAAATTCGACTATAGCGAATTGCCGTGTACATCGCGACGATTGACAAAGGATGCAGCGTATCGAATAATGAACAGAAAATGACGGCAGTGCAAGATGGTATTCGCAAAATTCCTGATTTGTTAGTACAATTTGTAACTATACAAACACCTACATTTCTAATCGAGTATTGACTCACGCTCTGAAAATTAATTAGCATCAAGCACACATTGTACTATTGTCGAGGCGATTATGGTTTCACAAGGAGAGCGAGAGAGAGAGAGAGAATATTATGCTTAAAGAAAAAGGATTATTTTAAATCATAAGTAACACGAAACATTTTATCGATCTCTTTGTATAAAATTATCGTCCCAGTTTTGTCAATTTAAAGCAGTACCATAGTACAAGATGACGAGATCGTCGGTCGATCGCCCGTCGAATGGTTCGTCGTAAGCGAACGGCGGACTACGGAAGAGCAGCTGTGGATGTTGGTTTTTGCGGGTTCGATCGGCACGTGTATTTTTGCCACGTACGGAACGAGTGACCCTGTTTTTGTGTCTATACGAACGCGGTGTCGACAGGACGATCTCTCGTCTGTCGTCTACCCCTTCTTTCCTTTCGCGAAACTCCAAAGAAAAATTGTAACGTGAACGAGTTTATATCCATAGTGTGTACGCGATTACGTGGATGTGAGACGAGATCGAGTAAAGATCTGCAGGAAACGTAAATTAAAATAGAGAACGACGAAAGAATTCTATACATGTAGTAGTGTGTGGATATACAGGGAAATAGATTGTAAAGATTTTTATGACTGTCTGAAATTATTATTATTCTCTTCAGTAGGTATTTCTGTTATAATTGGACTTTAAACAGCGCAGCTGTTTCGACGTAAAGTTCGGTACAAGTTGTACGCTCTACAGCAACTAACGTTAAAAGCACTACAGTACTAAAATATGTTCCCGTTCCGGTTAACGAAATATCTTCGACGGAACGACGAAAGGATCGGCCGACCGAAGGTTTTCACCTTGCCTGTCGTTCGCTGCTTCGTTTTCTCGCCAAAAAATTGATCCCACGTTCATCGTTTTCGAATCGCATCGTCGTCGTCGTCCTCTCCTCAATTTTTAGGACGATGGACGAGGAACGACTACGAAACTTATATGGAAAAGGAAGAAAGAGACGACGTTCCGTGGTCACCACACGGAACATTTGTCGACTGGGTTCATGGGCGCGCCCAACGGGCAATGAAACACTTCGGCAAAGTCCTCCGAATTCGACAAGGTGCCAATCACGCGAAACTTGCCGGGCGAATGAACGGCTGTCTTCAATTTGTTTCTGGTAGCTTCTGGTCGCATCGAGCCGCACCAAACCTGGGCAAAGTTCAAAAAGAACAGTTGCTTGCCAGTCGCGTTCAAACCGGGCAGAGCTTCGTCGACATCTCCGTTAGCGCGTAACCATCTTTGATAAGCCTAACGACAGATGGATTTTGATCGTGATTAATTAATCGTACGTCGCGTTGCCGATTGTCGATAAACGACGGGCAGAGATTTAAAAGCAGACAAAGCTGCACTGTCTTCGAGAATCGCTTACTCGAAAAGCTTGTTTAATGCCGCCGTTGTCCGCGATATTTTCACCCTGCGTGTTGATCCCGTCGATCTGCATTCCAACTTCGCTGACGGTGTAGCGACTGTACTGGTCTGAAAGATGAAATCGCATCGTCATTTGGACGATAGGTCGAACGGTTCGTCGACGGGAGGTGAAATCCGACCAGAGGCCGCCGCGACGATTACCGATAAGGCATTGGGCTCGTTCGTGAAAGCCATAAATAGCCCCGTCTTTCCACCATCTATGGAGATTACCATCCTTGTCGAACAGTCGGCCCTTGTCGTCGAATCCGTGCGTAATTTCGTGACCGATCACGACTCCGATCCCGCCGAAATTCAGACTCCGTGGAAAGTATCTGTGATAAAAGGGCGGCTGTAGTATGCCAGCTGGAAACACTGAGGAGCGGAAGGTCGAGATTCGACGATTAGTTTTAGAACTTTTCTTCGTTCGTTCGCGGAAACGATTCGCTCGTCCATGAAATTACTACCACCACTACTGACTTATCCTGTTTTTGCTGCGACTGTAATAAGCATTGACCACCGCCGGTGCGGTGTTCCACAGGGTTTTGTTCACGGGACTGCCGAGCCGGTCTTGCTCCACTCTGGTCAAATGTTGCAAAATGTTCAATGTGTTCTCGAAATATTTGTCCGGGCGGATCACCACCTACAAACAAATTCAACCTCAGACTGGATGCTCGACGGGCGCGTCAAGAGCGCGAGCATCGCCGCCGCGCCGTTGTCTGCGCGATTCGCCTTGATTCTCACATCCTTGTAACGCTCGTTCAACAGTTCGGGTTGTAGTATGAAGTCGGGATAACCGATTCTCAATAGCATCGCGTTCACTTTCTCCGTAGCCAGTTCTTTCGTCTCGTCGTCGATCCACGTAGTCTGATTCAGTAGTTCTCTGAACGATTTTTGTATCTCTCGGGTCATGGACAGCGTCTACAAACATAAAAAATGAAATTGTTGTGAGATCGGGACAGGGCGGACGACCCATGCGAGGAGCGATCGAGAATCTGAGGTTTCTTTCGTTTTACATCGTTTTTGCTTTTCTCGTCGAAATATTTCTTTACGAACATCGAGCCCACGGCCATGCCCATGTTAGAGTTCACTTGCGCCACGCAATTCTTCCACCTCGACGGCGCCTGTTCTCTTCCGAAAAGAATGTAATAAAACTTCTGTTTAGCTTCTTGAAACCGATCGTCCAAATTGTTGACTCTGTGCCTGACGAACCGCCACAGGAGATAATTGGCAATCGTTCTGCAAATGTAAAAACAACAAAAACAACAACGGTGACAGACAGTCGGAGAGTTAGCCGCCCGGTTCGTTTCCGCTGCCGGCATGGATCGTCGCGTACCGCGGCCTGGTCTTCGAGAGTAGGTTCACCAGATCCTGGACGTATTGCAAGGCGTAGACGACGACGGGCTCGGAAAGGTTCGTCGGTCGCGCCAAAACAATGGTCAAATATCGATGCCAATTAATTTGAGGCACCAGAGTTCTCAATTCACCGATGCTCATCCTTTGATACAGTTCCGAGACGTTTCTCCTCTCGTCGGGAGAGGATGTTATCTGTGAATGCATACAGAGAACGGAAGGACGCACAGAGAATAGGAAAAATAAAAGGTGGCGAACGGTACAAATCCGCGAGTAGTAGGTAGATCTAAGTACCTTGGCAAGTTTCGTTTCGAACTCTATCAGTTCGTCAGCGTCCAGGGTGGCATTCTGCAAGGACGCGCCCAGCAGAGTGGCGATTTTTATCAAATAATTCTTATACGCTTTCAGATAGATCGTGTTCGATGGTTGGAGAAAGTAATCTCTCGTAGGTAGACCTAACGACGTCTGATCGAACTGTAATTGAATTCTCTCCTGGAATCGAGCTTATTCATCGAGCGATCCAACAGTCGTGCGTTGCGCGGAGATAGGAATGTTTCGCGCGGGCGCATCGAACGAATCGGTTTACCCATTACCACTCTCACCTGAATCACGTACTGATCACTGTTTTTGATGTCCGGCGCGACCCACTCGGAAATGAGAATGTCATTATTGTAAAGCCTCAGTTGTGCCACGAGGAGTAGCCAGTCGAATTTCTCTGGATCCCAGTCGGGTCTTAGTACCGGCCAACCGCCGAGTTCGTCCAGAAGCTGTATGAGCGGCCGTTCCATGCGTTGCTCCAAGATCTCTAGCCCCACACGTCTCGCGGTAAAACTCGTTGAGAGCGCGTCGATGTGCGAAAAGTCGGTACGAAACAAAAAGTCATACCGTAATTCATACAACTGCGAAACAAATATTTGGCTTTCACCGTCGCGTCGTTCGTGTTCGGTCCAGAGTCTCTCGGTATGGGATCCTCCAGCAGCTCCTTCAACACGGAGTCCAACGATTCTCTAATCATTTCGAAAGTGTCGTAGGCAGCCTTGTCTTTGGGAATAGGATTGTGCTTCGCCCAGTTACCACAGGCGAACTGATAGAAATCCTCGCAAGGATCGGCGCTTCTGTCCATGTACTCGGTCATAATTTTTGCTGCGGCGAACATCTGTTTCTTAAAAAGCGCATGAGCACAGCAATTGGGATAAATGAAAAGCCCGGCAGCATCGCGAGTGTACCTTGAGCCTCCCTGATGGCACGCGCGTTCCCTTCGCCTTTCCAAAACGTGTGGAAATCCGTATCCGCTTCGTTCTCGAGTCGCTGCTGCTGCTCATCATCATCATCATCATCGGATATGGGCAGACTGGTGTCCGAGATCAACCGCCTGCCACCTAGCTCGCCCTCGTCCGACTCGTCCTGCGAACGTTCCTCGATATCGTCGTACTTCCCGTTGAACAATTTCGAGTGTACCTCCTCGTTCTTACGAGCGCATTCGTCGTCGTCGTCGTCGTCGTCGTCGTCGTCGTCGTCGTACCTGAACAGAGCAATTCTCATTGGACCAACCGTTTTACAGTCGCGTGGCCGCCCGTACGATCTATCGTGCTATCGCTGTCGTTCCGAATCGATTCAGCGTACTTAACGAGAGGCAGCGTTTCTACGTGAAATGAATAATCTTATTACTCTCGGTAGTCGTTGCTGTGTATTTCGAGATTTTCTTTGACCTGGTCTTCGGCGCCTGTCTCGGAGTAATAATAATCGTCCAGGAAGTTATCTAAATTTTTGTCAGAACTTGGATCGTCTACTTCTTCGACCTGACCATCTACCGATTCTCCCTGCATCACACGAACAATGCAACGAATATTAATGATATACACGTGTAGGTGGTAGGCGGCGGCGTCTTATCGTCGGCAATCGGGATTATAATAGGACAAAAATATGTACGCGTTCTAACGGGGGGGATGTGGTTTTTGTGGTTTCTATTCGATGCCTGCTTAGATCGTGTATAGATAGGTATATGTATGTAGGGTACCGTGTATAGGTGTGTCCGATTTAATTGACCTTGCACGAAATAAGACGATTGGCAATGACACGATCGATATTTATACAACGTGCATCAACGACACTAACTGAATGTTGATTGACTTTAATTAGCGTCGTTGAGGATGACACTCGTTATCTGTGTACGTGACAATGCCTCCTCCCTTTCTTCCGATCCGTTCTTGTTCGGTAATCGGATGGAAAGGTTTCAATAATGCGTACGTACGTACATACATACATATACCTACGCGCATAGTAGTCACCGAAACTCGAGGAGACGAACGGATGGACGGAAGTTTTTCGAATAAATTTGGACGATCGTGACAGAGGTAATTTGCAGATCGAGTATCGGTTAACTGGAACCTGCGCCGCTTTGTGAATAAAGTACCCCGTCCAGATCTCTCTTGCGACGATACAGCCGTCTCGAGGGAAGCAACGTTTCCGCCGGCACGTAGCTGGTTTTCATCCCAGGTATCAGGCTTCTGTCTTCTTCCTCTTCTTCACCGGCCCGCTCCGTCTCGCCGCGGCTGGTCGCTATCAATACAGTTGTTCGCTATCAACACCTTCTGCCTCGAACAGGAAAAAGAGTAGCGCTTCCTCCGACCACGATAACGACAGATTAAGCCACGCGACTCGCGTCACTTGGTTCGGACGACCGACACATTCGAATCTGAATGGACAGCCAACGAACCGGACGTCGTCGTTAATACCTGATAAAGCGTCGCTTTACGAGCTCGTCGTCATCATCGTCGTATCACGTGTACACGCGGCAACAGACTTACGCGGGAGGATCTCCTCGATCTTCTCGTCCTGTCTTCTCGTCGTGTGTACCAAGTACGTACGGTGATGGGGAGCCTTGCCGATCACCTGGGACCGCGACAGAGCGATGAAGATTATCGTGATCGGCAGTAAAACGGCAGGAATCAACAGCATCAATTTCACGCGAAACCGCCAAGTATCGTTTCCGCCCATGCACCACCTGCGACATCGAAACTGTTGTACACCGTGATTCGAACGTGGCGGCGGATCTTATTCTGCGCGTGTGTCACGAACTTGAGTCGACCGGTCTCCTTGTTGACAGCCAATCGACACGAGGGACACGGGCCACCGCTGAAAAAGTCGTCGTCGTCGTCGTCGTCGTCGTCATCGTCGTTGTTGTACCGATCCAAACCCGCGCTTCTCATTTTGTCTGAAATTAATTCGACTCCTTCCGTTTCTTTCTATCTCATAGTAACGCGCTCTACGCGATCGACACCGAGTTTATACTGACGATTACTGACACTGATTTCGATACGCAGTTCGCGCTTGCACTGACCACGCGACGATTACGACGTCGCGGTCGACGACAACGGTTCAGCGACGGTCGTACGAATTTACCGATCTTTTGCTTCGTTAAACGATGATAATGAACGAGCAGTCGAATCGAGATCGGATAAGAACATGCTCGCGCACCGGGTGAATCGGAAGATTGTACAAGTTCAGGCGGGAGTACTTTCGGAGAATCGCGCCCGTCAAGAGCCCGTCGAGGACCGTCGACATCGACTGGAAGCCGCGATCTATCCCGATTCCCCAACTACGATCTCGCCACGAATGTTAATGTAACATTGCGCGCATGGTCGAATTAGACCCGAGACGACATTTATACGGGAGCAATTTCCATATGTAACGTCGACGGTCAACGCCAATGGCGATGCGAAGTAACAATAATCAAGGTGGAGTCTCTCTACGTGCACGCACACCGCGAGACCCATTCTACGTGCTCCTTACGTCCAGTTATTCGTCAATCGACCCTAATAACTTCCAGTTATCGTTCAATAACGCGTCGTCGTGCTGTTTTACATTCTGCGCGTGATGTGCTCGTTGTCAAGTCTTCTTCTCTTGTCCCCCAGCACCGATTGCAAGGGTTTCAAGACGAACTTAGTAGGAACTTGAAAAGGTGAACAGAGAAGCAATCGGTGCTGTTTCTTCTCCTCGTACATCCGTTCCACCCGATTACCTCTGGACAGTTCTGTCTGTCGGCCTAGTTGCCGTCAGGTAGCCGCGTAAAAAGCGTCTCATCCAACAGGACACGTCACCGCTTTTGACGGAAGATCGTCTCGTATCGATGATGCGATGCCTTGTGCGGATCGTGTTCCGTTAACGATTGATGCTTACACAGCTTTGTTCACGCGTCGAACGATCGTACAAGTACAGATAATTTTCTACCATACAAATAATTGCGAATATAACGTGTTACGCTCGTATCGTGAATCGACTCACTAGAAATTTGCGGTTTCCTTCTGTTGATACAGTCATTGCGGTTCGATAAGAAATCCCAGTGTACTACGCTGCAACCGTAAATTTTGTCTTCCTCGGGAGTCATCATGGTCGTTGCGTGCACGCGAAGACGAGCGTACGAGCGGATCTTCCAACGAAAGCAACGAGCGTGACGGTCCGTGGTCGAATTGATTTTGAATCGATTATCATTTGATCATTTTTCTTCTTAACAACGAGCCGACTAACCAAACGTCCGATGCAAACGAATCAAAGTGATTCTTTTTATCTTGCTAATTTCAAGTTGCTTTCACGAGAACGATCTTCTTTTTACGTGACGCAGGCACGCGGAGATGTTCGAGAAATAAATACATAAACTTCCGTTAAACCAGACTGATCAGCAACGTGAGATTTATTTTTCCAATAAAATGCAATGATGAAACGTATGATCATCAGCAGATGGTCCTGTCGGCTGTTTGTTTTTGTCCTTCGTCAAGTTTCTGGTTCTGGTCCTCGCTTCTCAACTCTCGGCCTAGAGAAAAGTACGATGGACCGCAGTACGTGATCGCAGCGCTACCTAGACACTCCTCGTCATTGTACAAGACGGCAAACTAAAACAATACGTACGTAAGTACATTATCGTATACGTTAGAAGAGAAAGGTGAGAAAGGTGATGCAGAAAGACCAGTACTTGTCCATTTGTAATCGCCCTCAGTGGTTGATTGATTCGAATGAGTAACTGATTCTTCGAATCTTTATGAACGATACAGGGGACCAAGGAATCTTTGTGTTGAAATCGGAAATGACAATTCAACATTCTACCGAAGGAAGTGAATTCTTTCGGTTCCGACGATATCCAATGAGGTGGTTCCGTTGTTAGAAAGTCTGTATAGAGCGCGGGATGATTCGTCCCTCTTACCTGTCAACGTCCAAGCGAACGATACACTTCTGATTAAAAAATATGCCACCACCAAGTGGTATACGCTCGTTTCTCGTTCACGTACATACCACGATAATGTTGTTCGTTTCCGCGTCCTTCTTGTATACAAAGTACCTGAACTGGTGGTTCGGCAATTTCAGTCGTTGACCCACTGTCCAGTGATGAAAACCCGAGTGGTTTCCCACGACTCGGCCATCGTCGAGATCTACGAGTTCTCCAGGTTTCTCGGGTATATACTACGGTAAGCGTCCTCCAATTATTATCAATAAACGTTTACCGTGACCGACGCGTGAAAACGACGCGTATCGCACCTCGGATATAAAGCTTGGAAAATTTCGTTTACCCACGAAACATATTCCATAGCTTTCTTTCTTCCGAACGATCACGTCCAATCCAGCCTCTCGAGCAATCTGTTTCACGTCAGTCTTCAAGTAGTCCCCGAGGGGGAACATAGAACTACGTAGTGCCTCCTGTGGTACTTGGGACAAGAAAAGCGTTTGGTCTTTCTTCTTGTCTCGTGCTCGATACAACTTAACGTCTGCGATAACGTTTGAACTTAGCGAATTTAGCGACTGGTAATGTCGTCGTAATCATAATCATGTAGTCGTAGATATAATCACCGGCATTTGGTACGAAACGTTCGAGGTAAGAGCCGAAACTGGTTCTAACATAGTGTCCAGTCGCGATGGCATCTGCCCGAAGCTCGGTACGGGCGAACTTATAAAAGTGGTCGAATTTGATCAGCTTGTTGCACAGAACGTCAGGGTTCGGCGTACGTCCATTCTCATATTGTTCTGTCAAATAACTATAAAAGTTAGGAGAAATCAAATGTCGACGTGTTCGAACGACAGAAGAGTTAGAAGACAGCAGACGTACCAAAAGATATGATTCCAATACTCCTTTACGAAGTTTGCTTCGACCAAAGGAATCTTTATTTTATCGCATAACCATTGAGCATGCTCGTAATCCTCCTCAACTTGACATACTCCCGTTTCGTCCTTGATGTCCCAATTCTTCATGAACACTCCGGTGACATTGAATCCTGATTCAGATTAATTTGATCAACCAACAGTCCGAATGATCTTACCTCGACACTCTGTTAAACGACGGTAGACAAGTACCGTTTCAACATTCTGGAATTACCTTTGTTTCTCAAAAACAGTGCTGCTACGGCACTATCCACCCCGCCGGATATACCCACGACTATCTTCTTAAACATTTTCGCCGTGTGGACCGTACCCGTGGTGTACCGTCGTCTTATGTACACACTAGTGTGTAATATCAGTTAGTACCTCTTCGAGCAAGCGATTACGTTTTATGCGTGTACGCAACGAACGAGTACGGTTGGCTTCTTCGGGCGACCTCGGTATCTTCCAGGTTTCTGACACGGCGCACGTCCACCATACCGAATGGTTCCACCGAAACTAACAGGGACTCAGCCTGAGTACCTCAGGGTGAGGAGTGAGGACCACCACTGGACGCACGGGACATAGGACTCGACACTCGACTGACCGTGGTGGATCGTCCATCGGTCCATCGAAGAGAGAGCAACAACAGGGAGGGAACGACTACAATCGAAAGCGAAGGCTATTTCTTACGAGCACGTGGTGTACACGCAATTACGCATACTCGACGACGAGGGATAGTGAGGGAGGCGCGAGGGCGAGGGACCGACCGGCAGAGAGGAGAGATGAGAAAGCGAGAGACACTCTCTCTCTCTCTCTCTGTCCCTGTCTATATGTACTACGTTTCCCGTATAGATGTGGTCGTGTTGGCTGCTTGCTGTGATCAACACGAAGCACGCGAACGCACGCATACCTACACGTTTCCAAGCTCGCACGTAGGTCGATGTCCGAAAATCGTCGGCCAATCCACGCGCGGCTTTCTCGTCGGGGAACCAGTCAAGCACGTTGACAGATATGCAACGGTTGGCCGCAGGAGCTTGCATATTTCGAATGGCATTTTCTCGTGCGGATAACGACGTATCGCGTATCGCTTCGATCTATCGGATCAGGCGAAATTCTCGTGACGATCCACCGGTTTTCGAAGAAATGCGCGATTTCGGTGCGAGTGCAGCCCATTTTGCGCAGTTTCCATGACCCAGATTACGATGGGGAGTTCGCTCGCCTTTCGGAACAGCTGTTGGCCGCACAAAGATGTCGGCCGCGGGGAAACGCTTGGATATTTGGTGTATTGCGCGCGCCTCTTGGCGGCTTCGCCGCCACAATTTTCAGGCCCGTATCAACACGCGACACGTTAGGCGCCTCGCGGATTTTGTTCACACGCAACGATGCAACCTGCGGTTCCCTTCAAGGATGATATCTCGATCGGAACTTTTCTGTGATCAATCACGATAAGTAGGTTTTCGATTCAAACTATCATTTATCGAAAGATAGAAACTCTCGCAGCGACAAACCGAGTCGTAAACGAAATTACTACCGAGAACTGCCTATTAAAAAATTGTGTTCTGCGTTTAATTTTGTAATGCCGTTTCTTTTTTTTCTTCGTTTTTGTCTTTCTCCTTGCTCTTTCTCTTCACTCGACGTTGTCCGTGCAAACCATCGAGGCTCAGCTTGTACGAAATTGCTCGTCTGATTTGCTGTCTTATGTGAATTTGATCGTCTTTCGTGACGTTATTAAAATTACATATGCTGTAAAGATACCGCCGCCGCCGTCGCCGCGGTGATATTCGAAGTAGCAAAAGTTCCGAAGCTCGTCGTCGTAGAACTTAGTTTTTCGTCTTTCGGTAATCTGTTATGTTACGTGACGTAGGAGTTCGTGCGGAAGTGTCAGCTTCGAATAAAACTTATTTATTTGGATTTGAACGGCATTCGAGATTGTTCATACGCGCTTCTCGACGTACTCTACATGTACGTACGTGCGACGTGCGTGCTTACGTATGTATTTACACACACGTGTGCACGTGCGCGTGATACTTGGACGCGTTAGTCGTATGCCGTGTATCGTCGATATTAACTACAGTAATGTACCGTGTATGATCGTCGTTGTTAAGAACGTTCGTCGTCGACGATGTTCTGTAGCAACAACATTCCGTATGATTCCGGGCACCACCGGTTGAAGCGATTGATATGTGTGTACGTATACGCATTTATTTGGTACACGTCCTCCCGGCGAACACAGTGAAAAAAATGAGTGAAGAACAATAGAGGTTCGCCGCGAAGAAAAGTTTGGCGGGTAGCTTTGGCGCGGTGCGTGCTGCATGGCACACGTATATGTATAGATACGCTGCTTTGCAGGAGGTACCCCGCGAGTCGTCGGGGAACAGAGACCAGAGACGCTGAACGGATGAATACGGTCCTGCGCGATCCCCTCCACCTTCCTCGTCCCGCTACGCGACCAGTCAGTTCCTTGTTTGCCATACAAAATCCAATAGTTTGCCTTGTACCTCGAGAGAGTGCGAATATGCCTTTTGCATTTGCCTTTTTTTTTAAAAAGTGCGGTAACTCGTCGATATACTCGCGAAAATGTGCATTTTACTGAATCTGTTCACACACACGACAAGATTCCGGTGGTTTTGAGGCGGAGATACTAAGAGAGCATAGTGAATCCTTCGTCCGGAGAGCTACACAGGCCGACCGGCCCGTTAAGGCTTCGTCGATTTTTTGGTCGAGTGAAAAGAACGGGGCCGAAGCTTTCGTCGGGCCGACGAGCGAATTTCGGTTCGAGGACCGGGAAAAGGAGCTACCTGTGTCTACTGCGAGAAGAAAACGTAGACGTAGTGTGTGTGTGTACGCAGCTCGCGAAGTGTGTACGTTGGAATATCTCGAGAGGTGGACTCTTTTGTGTAAAAGGAGCGACGGCAGGACGAATATTTTTTCACTGGAGCACTCGGGAAAATGTGTTATGTATTTACGTGGAATATTGCGTAACGTCGAGGGCCGGGAAGTGTTTGGAAACGTGCAACACTGACAAACCTCACTTCGACGACTTCGCGGCGCGGCCCGTGGTAACTGGTAACGTGCGTCCGTGTGTGCAGCTGGCTTTACCGGCTCTATTTCGTCGTCTCTTCTGTCCGAACGAAAATTCTCTCCTGCTACTGCCAGCCTGTCCGCCGCCGCCGCCGCCGCCGCCGCCGCCGCTGCCGCCGTCGCCGTGTATCGCGATACAGAAATTTTTCCGCGCGGTAACCAACCAATTCCACACCGACGCTTGTGTTTCTCCTCGTGGAACGGTGGAACACAAACTTTCCTCGTGAACGGAATCGACATCGGCACAACTTTGACTTTCAACCTCGACCACTTGCCTTACTGGATCGGAACTCGCGACCAAATTTTTTGCTGCAGCAACCCGCGACACTCTTTTCAGATGGAAATTGGTACGTATCGTCGTACCTACATATGCATTTTCACCACTCACCTATTTTTCTCTACTCCTCTTCCCGTCTTCTCCCGTCCGAGTCACTGACATTTCTATATTCATGCAAGGTCATTATAAAACTGCTCTGTGGACGTACACATCGTGTCGTGCGGACGTACTAGGTTATAATTATTTTTATAACACGCTTCAATTTTGGTGTTACTTTCTTCCCGGGGCACACGTACGCGTACTACACCACGATATCGTTCTCATCCCCAGCAGACTATGTAGTACGTACATACACACGTAGTACGTAGCATGGCTGACTTGTCTACTCTGACATACTCGCCGCCTATTTCAATATCTGATACATTTATGAAAATTCAACGTCTCCTCGTTCAGTGGCCCTGTACATTTATTCTGCACTGACAGATTGCACCGAGCAATAGTTCTCGATCGACTGATAAGTGATAAAACGATGAGCTGGTAAAAGTACTACGCTTCTACCTGTACATAGATTCAACCACGAGGGAGGGAATGAAATTGGCGTATAACTTTTACAATAATGTTTGGACGTCTACGTGGATCTGATACGTAACCTATGTGGATATTTCGTTGACTTGCGACGGCAGTGGGAATTATTTTTTGTCACGATAGATGGATTGTCTGTACGCGTAAGGAAAAGCAGATATTCTCTATTTCCCTGTGTACGTGTGTCATCGTACGTATCGCTATCTGTCCACTTTGTTGTAACATTGAAAGTAAATCTTTTCATTTACTTGATCTAGATAAAGAAGTAGCTAAAGACTGTAACTTACGAATGGATAGGTAGTGACAATGTGGACGTCCAGATGACAAGGACATAGAAATGATTACAAGACCGATAAACGCTGTAATTTATAAGCGTGTACGCTGAGCAAAAAAGTAAATATCGAGTCCAGCGCTTTCCCTTTTCTTTTTCACAAATCCCAAATTTCTGACACGCAGTTTCAACATTCCTCAAACGTACGTATTATTGCATATCTTGTGTGAGGTTATATCGCTCACTTGTGCTTTAGTTCTTCTATAGAACGGGTCTACGTTTATTTGTTAACACTTTCCGTTCATTTATCGACATCTTCGTAAATTAAACGTCAATCGAAATGCGACCACGTGCATTTTAATTATTTAAAGTTATGCAATGTGTGTGTGTGCGTGCGCGCGCGCGCGCGCGCGCGTGTGTGTGTGTACACCGGACATATACATACGTGCACGCGTAAGAAGTTGCAAGTATGAGTAATTCAATTATTTATAAATGCAAAGTTGTCTTCGTACGAACGAATTACAATCGCTCGAAGTTTAATTACCGAATTCAACAAGATATTTTTAACGAGTCATTGTGTTTCATTCTGCAGAAGTGATCGAACGCGATGGCGTCGAGACCGAGACGCCGGGCTTTGACTAAAAAATTAAGTGCAATGCCAGTGAAAACATGATCGGTCGAGATCATCGCTGTTAACGTGACAATAAGGGAATGTTCATTTTTTTTTGTCGAATTTCACGCACCGTGCCGCCGCTGCATCTTACGACGAACGAGATCCGTGTCGTATCGTGCCGTGTCGCGGAGCATAGAAAGTGCTGGTGTTGGTATTATAATTTTCGATTCTTCGTAGAGTCGTAGTGTCGCGCAGGGATCGAGCGCGCGGTGCTTTCAAAAATTCCGTGTATACGAATGGCGCGATACGGACGTTGAAATGAACGAGGGGAGAAAGAGTAATGAGCGTATTCGGAATAATAGTTTTTCTATTTGGCGTGTGCACGCGAGTATTTACGTGCGACGACGACGACGACGACGACGACGACGACGACGACGACAGAGGAGGAGGAAAGCGTTAGCGTTGACGGGCGTGCATTACCGATCGCGTAGCTTTATCGCCTGATTAAACTTAAACGAAACGGTAAGAGATAGTAAGTCACCGGTGCATCGGACACTTTCGATGCATTTATTCCAGTTTTTTGTCTGATCGTAGCGCGGTAAACGCGCGGGTATGAGATCCGCAAAAGAATTTCTGGCTGCCGCGTCGCATTTTACGATCGTTCCAATGCGAACGCGATGACTGTGTCACGCAGACGTGACGTTAAACAACGCATAGTTAATACCTACCACCGGTGCAAGTACAACGTGAAAAAAAACGTAGTCACCGGTCCAATTTAAATTCGACGTACTTACCTATACGTTATTGTTGTTGTTGTTGTTGTGTCTTCGACGTTCTAGCATGTTTTCAAATGCATTTTACTGGTCGCCGCCGCGCGTCAGGTATAGGTACATGCCTGCTCAGGAACGCTGAACATTAAACGACGACGTCTGTCGATTCCGTAGCGTTTCCAATGTGATCTGCGATGAAACGTGTTCGTGGGCTGGACGAGGTAGCATCACCAGCAGCAGCAACGTTAAAGCACTCGTCGTCGGTGAGTGCGGGAAGTGGCTTAGGCGGCGGAGGAGGTGGCTTGGAGTTCCATTCGAGCAGCGGAATAGGCGTTGTCGTACCTGGCCAAGCAGTTCGAACAGTCGGTTCGAAAGAAATGCCGGGAAGCATACAATTCGGAACTGCCCAAACTCAACAGCAATACGCCGGGGCAATCGTAGTACCGACCGCGGCTCCGTCCCCCATTAAGGTACGTGTTGCCCGCGCGTCGTTCGTATTCCATGAGAAATTCCTCGTCTCCGTATCGTTCAAACGATTCGTTGAATCCTGAGATCTGTCGATTGTTGGTTCGTTTGTACGATAATCGCGTTCGAAATGCGTTTCATACGGTGGAGAACGACGGATCGATGATATCAGCTGATGTTTCGATCGACGTATCGGTCGACGACGAATCGTCAGATTTTCAGATTTTTCAACGGTCATCGGAAAATCTTTTTACAGGGAAGTGGATCCACGGGACTCGGTACGTGTGGCAGTAGCAGTGTAAATACCGGTGGTGGGTTACACGGTGGAATAGGTGGTGGTAGTGGGAGCAACCATAGTATGAGTTCCCAGCAGCCTACGCCAGGAGCACAGAGTCAAGTTCATGCCCAGCAGCAACCGACGATAAGGCAAAAGGTCGGTGGATGTGACACGCGATTATAAAGACGAATGAATCGCGAAAGAATCATTGGATCTCGTTACAGGTCCATTCTAGCAATGTGACACCGTTAGCTTCTACTCCACCGGGCACCAGTCTGGGTGTCGGCAGCGGGTCCCAGCAGTTTCAGAGATTAAAAGTGGAGGATGCATTGTCTTATTTGGATCAAGTCAAGTATAAATTTAGCGATCAACCCCAGGTACTAGTGATACGTGTCTAGACCGTGATCATCGTCCTCTCTGTACAATACCTCTTCGTTTCGTTTCAGGTGTACAATGATTTTTTGGACATTATGAAAGAGTTTAAATCGCAGAGCATAGACACACCGGGGGTAATAACGAGAGTGAGCCACTTGTTCAAAGGACATCCCGAGCTCATCGTCGGTTTCAATACTTTTCTTCCACCCGGATATAAGATAGAGGTGCAAGCGAACGAGCAGGGATACGCGTTTCAAGTGTCGGTCAGTATGCCGAGCCCGACAGCAACGCACACCGCCACTTTGTCTCAGCATCACTGCACCGTTAACGTTGGTTCGCCTCCCGTTGCCAGTCCGCCGACGCAACCGGCGAAAGCTCCGCCAGTTTTACAAATAATGCAGGGGTAAGATTCTCGGCGATCATCTCGTACGTCGTACGTTTTTATACGTTTCTTACCGGATAATCGCGACGAATCGTTGTATTCTGTTTGAAATCAGAACCGGGAACATACATCACTCGCTGGCCAACAATATCTCTAATAACAGTTTGACGGTGCACGCGCCTTCGCCACCACCGCCGGTACCGGCGTATAATAATTCGCATGTTAGCGCGGCTCAAGTACAGGCCGTGAGTCAAGCGTTGAGCCAAGCACAAGACGGTATACCGACTAGCGGGCAAACTCAACAGAATCAACCAGTTGAGTTTAACCATGCGATTAATTACGTTAACAAAATTAAGGTTTGTATTCGATTCGACAGTTATTACACGGATTTAAGGGTGGTTAATCAATTCGTTCGCAATTACAGAATCGATTCCAAGGCCAGCCGGACAAATACAAGAGATTTTTAGAAATCCTCCATACTTATCAAAAGGAGCAACGGAATCTGAAAGAGTCTGGACACATGGGTGGCACGAGCGGCTCTGGCATATCCGGGGGTGTGAAACATTTGACGGAAGCCGAAGTTTACAGTCAGGTCGCTAAATTGTTCGAGAATCAAGAAGATTTGCTCGAGGAGTTTGGCCAGTTCTTGCCCGATGCTACCAATCAACAGAGTTCACTGGTGAGTGTGGGACGCGAAGACGAGCGAATAAAGCGACGTGTCGATCGAACGTTCGTTCGTTTATTCGTACCGTTTTCAGAGCAACAAGACTACGATCAATGATCACGCGCCGATCGTGAAGAAACCATTGGGACCTAAAGCACCTTACAATAATTCGGGGACTGTTTCTCGGGATATCCGTGAGTCGAGCGGCACCGGCGGTACGATGGAACGTGAAAGTCGTGATCACAGGGATCGCGAACGAGAACGAGATAGCAGATCCGGTATACGAGATATGAATAGTGTACAAAAGTTTAGTCACTCTACGGGACAGTTGAAAAGAAGTCCGTCATTCTCACCTTCGGTAACTGCCGCCGTCGCCGCCGCTGCCGCCGCCGGCAACTCCCACCATATACCGCACGGTCCGCCTCCGTTGAAGAAGCATAAGGTGTCGTCTATGCGCGAATGCGTCACGATAGCGGAAGCTGGAAAATACGGCAGTCTCAACGATTACGCTTTCTTCGACAAGGTTTGCATTTCATCGAGTGTTCGTAACATCGATCTCGACAGGAGGAGGAGGAGGAGACAGGAGCGTAGATAAAATTTCGAAAACTAAAAAATATGTGCTTCCAGGTTCGCAAAGCGTTGAGATCGCAAGAGGTGTACGAAAATTTCCTTAGGTGTTTGGTCCTGTTTAATCAAGAGATAGTTTCGAAATCGGAGCTGGTGCAGTTGGTAACGCCGTTTCTCGGTCGATTCCCCGAACTCTTGCGCTGGTTCAAAGATTTCCTGGGCCATTTGCCGGAATCGTCGAACACGACGAACGCGGCGAACGCGAACAGCAGCGCGTTGAACGTAGAAGCGCTACCGAACAATGTAGTGCGAAGTCATCAAGAGCGACCGCAAGGCGACCTGGCGATGGAAATCGATTACACGGCGTGCAAACGCTTAGGGGCGTCGTACTGCGCGTTACCAAAGTCTTATGTTCAACCAAAGTGTACAGGAAGAACGCAATTGTGCAAAGAAGTCCTCAACGACACGTGGGTTTCGTTTCCGACTTGGTCCGAGGACAGTACGTTCGTAACGTCGAGGTTCGTAAATTTTGTTGTTCTTGTTCTTTTTCTTGTTTTCCTTCGCGATTTGCGATCGTTTGTCGTTTGACTGTTGAGTTTAAGAATGATCGTCGAATCGAAATGTTTAGGAAAACGCAATATGAGGAATTCATTTACCGATGCGAGGATGAACGATTCGAGTTAGACGGTGTTATAGAAACTAACGCGTCGACCATCAGAGTTCTCGAGGGTGTTCACAAAAAGATGAACAGAATGAGTCAGGAAGAGCTTCAGAAATTCAAACTGGATGACTGTCTCGGTGGCAGTTCTCCCACGATTCATCAGAGAGCTCTGAAGAGGATATACGGTGACAAGGCTGCCGATATCATAGACGGTCTTAAGAAAAATCCTGTGGTAGCCGTCCCCGTGGTCCTTCGTCGTCTTAAAAGCAAAGAAGAGGAATGGCGGGAAGCGCAGAAGGGTTTCAATAAAATCTGGAGGGAACAGAACGAAAAGTACTACTTGAAGTCTCTGGATCATCAAGGCATCAATTTCAAGCAGAACGACGTGAAAGCCTTGAGGTCGAAGAGCCTGTTCAACGAGATCGAAACGTTGTACGACGAGGTTCGCGAATCTTTCTTTTTTCTTCTCGTTTCCGTGCACGTATGTCGTCGCACGTATCTTTACGCGTGCGTTACCCCACGCGATCCTCTCTTAATAAATTCGTTGCGCAGAGGCACGAACAAGTGGACGACGGGAACGGCGACGGACAAAATAACACCGGCCCTCATCTCGTGTTACCTTACAAAGATAAATCTGTCCTGGACGATGCGGCGAATCTTCTGATTCATCACGTGAAACGTCAAACGGCCATCCACAAGGAAGACAAGCAACGAATAAAGCTGTTGTTGAAGCATTTCATACCAGATCTTTTCTTCCATCCACGACAGGAATTGAGCGATGACGAGAGAGATGAAGATGGTATTTTCTTATGGACGTTCACGATACGAACGACGCTATCATTTCATTTTTCATGACCATATTATCGATGTTGTATATCATTGTATGTAACGTAACGCACACTTTGTAATCGTGATGTCGCAGACGAGAAGGAAGACCTGAACGTAGCCTGTAGCAATTCGAGCCAGTCGGTAACGATGAGTGCCACCACTCCGCTAGGCGGTGGACTCCAAGCGAACAGAAATAAAACTTCGGTGTCTCCGAACGCGTCTTCCAACGCGTCGGTCAAGACCGAGCCCGATGTCAAAGTACCGATCCATGCCATGTCGAACGATCCCGAGGAAGCGTACACGCTCTTCATGGGTAGTAACAATTGGTACCTTTTCTTGAGGTTACACCACGTACTGTGCGAAAGATTAACGAAGATGTACGATCGGGCCGTGGCTCTTGCCGAGGAAGAATCGCGGTACAAACAGCAGCGGAAAGAGAGTACGGCGGTCGCGCTGCGATTGAAACCTAAGAGTGAGTAAACGGTCTCCCTTCGTTTCCTCCCTTTGCTTCCGCGATGTAGACCGCGCGATCCCCGGATTTCATTACAATAATTGTAACGGTGTTCATTCCGCGTGCCTGCAGACGAGATTGAGATCGAGGACTATTATCCTGCATTTTTGGACATGGTTAAGAATGTCCTGGACGGAAACATGGAGAGTACCGCTTATGAGGACACGCTGCGAGAGATGTTCGGTATTCACGCGTACATAGCTTTCACGCTGGACAAGGTCGTAACGTATGCTGTCAGACAAGTAAGTGTACGGACGTCGAAAGACGGTTTGCATTCTCGCTACGACGATCGTCGTGTCGCCTGAACCGAGTTTCATGACAGAAATGGATTTGCCAGTTACAGCATTTGGTCTCGGACCCGATATGCCAGCAGTGTATGGAACTATTCCAACGGGAACAGCGGCAACCGAAAGAGAGTAGTGGCGCGGGTGGTTTATGCGCTACCGCATACATGAGACTCGGTGCGGAAATGTCGTATCAGCGGAAAGCTGAGAAAGCTATGGCCGACGAGAACTGCTTCAAGATATACATTGTAAGTGAAGCCTGTTTCGCGCAGGACGCAGACCACCACCACCACCAGACCGCAGTACCAGACTTCGGTCAGTCGTTTAAGCGCGCGACCCGTGTAAAAGCTATGTTTTCTCGACGTTGTTGCAGTACAAGAAGGACTGTAAAATGACGATGGAATTGTTGGACACGGAAGGCGACGAGGCGATGGACAACAGTTGTAGAGAAAGGGAAAGGGAAGGAGTTACGGTATCTGGAAAATGGTCTACGTATGTTGAGAGGTTTTCTGCTCCCGCAGCTGGTCAGACCAGTCCGAAAGACACCCCTGCCTTAACAGACAATGAGCCGACGACCAATCATCCTGTGAGTAACGACCAGGCAGGAAGGGGGGGGAGGGGCAGAAAGCGCAAGAACACTGACATTAGCAAGAAGGTATAGGATCCACATCCCTTTTCATAATCATTGCCAACGTTCGAGTTTATATTCATTCGTATTCGATGTCTGTGATTGGAAGTTGTACCGTTGCCATTCAGTGTACGACTCAGTGATCCCAAAGAACGAAAGTTTTCTAAGAGCAAAAACTTTTCATTATTTTGTGTGATCGTACCGTACTATACGTGTATATACATATTAGAAAAAAACAGGAAAGAGAACAGACTCTGTGCCAGAGGTACGCTCGTGCGTGGAAAACGTTTGATCTCGCAGTCGGTTGTCTTTTTGTCGAGAGAACTAACCGGGTCTTTTAAAAGTATCGATGTCATCTTCAAGAATGAAACTGAGAAAAGAATTAGAAAATATTTTAGGGACGAAAGTTTCGACGAACAATGTCGTTTGTTTGCCACTACGAGGAAGCTACGCAGCCATTATACGATCTGCTATATCCACCTATGCTTTATCATGCGAACGGGGTCGGAGCACTGATTCATGCTTCTTGTCATTTATATAGAAAATGCAGAACTCTGTATACATAAGCATAATATTCTTTTAAATGCTAAACAGAAAGGAAAGGAAAAAGAAAAAGAATGGAGAGTCACACACAGACACAGACACACACGCGCGCGCGCGCGTGTGGGTACACACACACACACACACACACACACACACACACATGTATTTATTTTCGTAAAGATCAAAGATTAACGAGATTAAAGTGGTGAGAGATACATGATCTCCGTCTCGGTGTCCATTGCGGTGCTGTAAATTAAGTGCAAAGAAGAAACAGAACAGGAGGAACGGTAGTAGATATATGCGAATGCAATAGCAATTACGAATCCCCATTCTTTATTCTACCTGTTAGCACCGTTGGTTAGTATGTGTCGCAGCCGCACCGTTAAATGTTACGCGAAAAACTACAAAATACACTTATTCTATTTTAAATACCGATTTTATAGTCGAACAACGATCTCTAAAATCTTCTAAATTTTGTGTGCATTCGGAAAAATGCTCTGCTCCACGATTCATTGCTTTGCTTCCTCGTTCTCTTTTTCTTCTTTTTTTTCTCACTCGTTGTTTCACGATGTGAATGACTTCCGTCGCCCGAATTTCGTTCCTGTCGCTCACGCGACCCCTTCGTTAAATTATTTCATTTTTTGTTCGTCGTATATGTCAGACGATTTGCGATCGTTTCCAACTCGCGTACCAAACGTTTCGTGTTATCATTGTTTCTCTAGTTTTCTTCTCGTTTCTTTTTAACGTGTTACGTCATATTTATTCATTACGACATTTTTGTTTGTTTTTAAATAATTTTTTATTCTAAAATCGATGACTATAATTTATTATTATCGAAGCTTTGACAGAGAGCTTGTAAAAATCTCAAGTACCGTACTAAACGTTGTTATTAATTTATTTTTTTTTTATTACGTTGAGAATGTAATTTTTCCACAAAACGAAAGGACCTGGGCCAACGAAATGAACAAGGAAGTTTTTCGTGGTTATATTCGTTATCGCACTGTCTTTACACAATTGCCTATTTTCCCAACTCCGTTCCCCGGAACACAGAAGGAACGATCGTTTAAAGTAAACTGTAGTTATGAAACGAAAGGCGGTAACGAGTATACATATAAATTACGAACGTATTTCAAGAAATGTACAAAGGGAGAGAGAACATTCGTAGGAGGAATGGTGGTGGGCATACGTGAGTAAAGTCATTCGAGCAGTGCCGTAAGTGAATGTAAAACATTGGCATTAGAGAAAGAAAGAAAGAAAGGAAAACGTAACATTTGATATCGGTCAATTCTTAACGGCTAGTTCGTTTTCGTTTTACTATTATCGTACATTAGATAAGATGATAATTTTTAGAATTTATTAATGCAACAGGATCTGAATCTGAAGGGATGTAAATATTTGATATGACTTTGTACATACGTTTTGATACGCGTCTTCGGTCGGCCGATAGTGTACATCGACTAATTTGTAAAGTTCTACTATCACGCTGTCGTATGTCCGAAACGATTAGTGAAGCCTTTGGGAAGGAATTGTATCATAAAATGAACATCGAATCGAATCGTGAACACGTTATTTCCACACCACGTCGCATCGCGTTCAAAATTGTAGCTTTCTATTCTTTCCAATAGTTTTCGATTCGTTCGAACGATCATCTCCCGATATGATAAAATAATTATTACACGGAAATAGAATTTGAAACTTGAGGAATCTGGGAACGGTTCCTGACAACCGATCTCCAAGGAACGCGCGATCATCATGGTTTAATCTCGTTAGCCAAGTTCCCGAAAAAAGATGTTACAATATTTTTTCATCCGCACTTTGAAACAAATTTAGGATGTATCGACGAAATATCGGAAATCATATATATTTTTTGAATACTAGAAATCACTCGCCGAATACCGATCGACGACGACGACGACGTCGACGAGCTACCGTAGTAGCCTATCTAGAGAATGTTTAATTAGGCGAACGCCTGTTACTAGTCGACGTACCGCTGTACGTACAGTTATTCTGTATTTTCGAATTATGTTGACTAGATTCTCTCTCTCGGAGAAATTTAGTCCCAAACAATTGCGGTAGTTGAACTCGAAAACTATATACGCCGTTTTTCATGGCGTGGACCAAGCGTGTTCCTGGCTTAAAAACCGTCGCCACCATAAAATGCGCGTGTATGCAAATTCTTTGCTACGTCGTACATACGTACGTAGGAAAGGAAAGGAACGATTTTATACCTATCTGGCGTACCACGTACATAAAAACAGAGCCGTTTGCGGTCTTTTATTCGACGTCTTTTTGTGTTGGAAGAAAACGTAACAAGTGGTTGCTATTTCGGTCTAATTTGGAACGTATACCAAAGGTTTCACAGAGTTTCGATCTTTCTCGATTCTTGTTGTTGTTGTTGTTGTTGTTGTTGTTGTTGTTGTTGTTGTTGCTCCGAATTTTGTATTGCGAGTTCCATTCGGTCTTCTTTTTTTCTTTCGTGGGGTACGATGCACTTTCGTTCGTACTTCTCTTCTCGTCCGACGAATGCTACGATTCCGTCGAAGGTGTTAAAAATTCTCACGGTGCAACCTATAATAATTGTCACTCTCTCGCGTAGAGAATCGGTTTAAGTTTTATACAGTCATCATCTACCGTTCCTTTGTAAGGTCAGATAAACCCGCTGCTCGCGTCGACGCTAAAGTAACCGCTTTTTAATGTTCCGTTTAACGATCGCGTTCAGGGTTCCTCTTGTTCATCGAACGATACCGGTAAAAATATTTGACTCGTTTCATAGTTTAACAGGAAGATCAATCGGGAAAAGACGACGTTTCGTATCTTTCACGGGCAGATACCATATTTTAACTTTCTTCGGGACAGTATATCTTGTACGATTTATATATAATACGTTTGTGTTGCGAGCGGATTCTCAAACCCGGTATTCGCAATGTTGTTTCCTCATTGAATACTATCTTCGTATTTTGTACAAAATGTAAAAATGTGCACTTCCTAGCAAGGCTGGCTCTGCATCGTGAAATCTTAAGCGCTGTAGTATATACGTATGTATATATATATATATATAAACACGCGCGCGCGCGCGCGCATATGCACATATACGTATATGTAGGAAGAGAGAGGGGGAGAGAGAGAGAGCGAGAGAGAAAGAGAGAGAGAAGAAAGGTGCGCGTACTCTGTACGCGCGTATTTATATATTTTTCGTTCATTTCACGGTTCAATACGTTTTCATTGGATAACGTGGCGCAATTTTAACTCATTCAACGTCACATGTGTATATACCTGCATACGTACCGGTAGGCGATTGTGCCACAAACGATCTAATCGAAACGTGATTGCGACACTTGTAATATAGTTTCATGACGACTATGAGGTGACATGTGCAGACAGATTTTATGTGATTGTTACAAGCTCATATCTCTGTTCTCACTTTACGGAGTGAATTTTATCATACATACATACATATATATATATATATATACACACACACACATGAAGAGAGACATATGTGTATACATATATGTGTGTGTGCGCGCGCGCGTGTGTATGTACATATGTATATATACATATATATATATACACGTATATATATGTATATATATTTTGTAACTTTAATCTGTATATGAAACGAGTATACAATAATAATAGATAAACGATAATATTGTATAGAAGAGAGATATTGAAATACATGAACAATGCTTTTAAACATTATTGTCTAACATCATTTTGTACCACTAAATTTATTACTTTGATTCTCCGATGGTGTTCATTTTTTATATGAAAGACGATGCTATGTTTTCTTATAAGCGGAACGGAACAATGAATACGATGAAACAAATTATTTTCGAACGCTGCGTCTAAATGCTTGACGATCGTAGAAAAATTTCTGATTCAGCTATTCATTTTTTTTATCTGTGTCCTCGTCTGATTTTTACTTTCGATATCTTTTGTCTCGTTTAAGTTCGACGTGTTACGCTTTATTGTTGTGAGCTTGCGTCGTATCGTCTGAAACAGCGACGTTAAGAGTAATATATCTCTTTTCTAACACATATGTATGTTAAGGGAGTAAAGCTCTTATAGTTTGATACCGTTGAATAGCTGCGCTCGAATCATACTCGAGTACTTGGACAGTTGGTTCTTTTCGTTATGCTTTTCGCTTTACATTCATCGATCTTCTTACAAATATGCATAGATCCGAATTTATTTTACCTCGAATTTTATCTTGCGTTTATTATTGGTTCGTTTTATTCTTCTCGAATACGTTCCGATGTGCTAAGGGTAGAGACGCACCGGTCACGTTCAATTCGATCAGAAGACGTAGCCAATTTTGGCCTGAAACAACGAATGGTTTCTCTGTCGAGGTCGACGCGAGTCACATGTTTCTTAATTACGTACTTCCAGTCCAGTACTGCATAAATTCTTTTTCTTTTTCACGTGTAAATTTCGTCAGTGAATTGAGACGGCTCTCTCAGATTATTTAAACATTATCCTCTCACCTATTCACGTTTTATCCAATTTAACCGTCGTAACAATTTGTTCGATTTCGTATACATATATTTCTGTTGAACGTGCGTCATTGTAACACGCCAAATAACAATTTATAGTTTACCCGTTCAGCTAGTTTAATTATTTTTACCGTTATCTCGTTGTGAAGCATGAGTGATGAGTGAAGCATCGTTTCGTGAAGCAAAGGTACAAGGGAGGAATAACTGTGATTTACCAGAATCGCGTCGTAGCTGGACATTTTCCATAATGTTAAATTTAATGCTGTTTATCCGTGACCGAGTAGGACGAATGATATCGATAGTTGTAGTCGCATCAACCTGGACCGTTGAAAAATTTAATGTAAAACGATTGTTGTAGATCGATGGGAACGGTTGGAGTTCTTTAGGCAGAATTTTGGCAGGACGTAAACCTGTGTTTCTTTACCGTAATGTTAGACAATGGAGAAAAAGAGCTGCGAGGATGATGTCGGCGCCCGTGGCCAATACCGATTCCGAGAAAGCTGCAGAGTAAGTATCTCTTACGAATTTTACTGCGAACGACTCTGTCCCAGTTTCGTTGAACCCGTTCTAAAAATCGCCGTCTCGTCGGTCGACCGTAGGTCAACGGAGAAAGAGAAGTTGGACTCTATGGATGCGCTGCTGCAGCAACCAACTTTAAGATTAGCAGATTCCGGCGATGCGGCGGACATAATCAATTCCGACGAGACACAATGCCGTTTCAATCCCAACAGCTATCAAATGCTTTACGTCGCCAGTAAGGAAGCGTTCCTGTACAAACAGAATTCCTTCAGCCGTGCCAGAGAGGTATGTTGAATCCGAGGTGGGGAACGAGATAATCCGCGTCGTCTTCTGTCTTGCTGCGCGCGTAGCAGAGGACACGACGAAATATCGGAAATGAAAATGTGACTTTATCTTGTTTTTCGATAGTGTCATCCAACCGTAACGAAACACTTGAACTCTAAGTTCCATCAATGGCTCGCATCCTGGGCATCTAAAAACGTTGCGGACGTTCAACACCGATTGTGCCAAGATTGGTTGATGGGACGTTACGAAAACTTGATTCCTCATAAGACGCGAGTGATCACGGACAACGATCAGACGAGATCGCCTTATCGACAATACAATCGTTACCGCGTGGAACGCTTACAACCAGACGGTCTTCTGACGGAACCGTGCGTGTAATTCTACGATTCCTTGAGAACGCATTGAACGCGATTACCGTGAGTAACTCGGTTTTGGCGATCTCGCGTTCATCTGGGATGTATTTTCTGTCAACGGGACCTTGCTGGACAGTTGAGAAAGAGTCGTTTTATGACCGTTAGCGGGACTGATTGACGAATGTTATTGCGCTCGTACAACGCGACGCACGTACAATGCGAACTTGGTCTTATTTTGCTCGATCAAGTTCACTTATCACGTATGAAGGAGGGTGCGAGGAAGAGCGGTCTTTGAGAGAAGAAAAGACCCCAAAAAAAAAAAAAAAAACGGAATGTATCGAGGAGTATAACGAATCGCCTATAGATCATAGATCGTTGCACTACAATTATTGCGTTGAGTTTCGGGTATATTCGGTCGGGTTCAACTGTGTATAGGTATGCGTGATTCGATGCAAATGGAAATAACGCTGCTTGGAAGCTTTGTTCGTCCGACGTTCGTTCAACGTAGTTTTCGTAATTATGAGATAAAAATGTAAAATTGTTCGAGGAAGCGGACGCGTCGAGGAACGCGGACGATGGCGACGACGATGCGATGTTTCCAGTTGCTTCGAGAGTGAGCTCGCAATCAGGTAACGTGAGTGAATGAATAAACGTGACGTTTCGTTTCGAAAGTTCACCGATAATGCTTGATAAAAATTTCCCGGGTAAGGTTTTACATATGAAAGTAAAGTTGAAATGAAACTTTTGATACTTTGTGTAATATCGTAAAGTCTATAGAGAGGATACTCTGTCTATCGTAATGTAATTGTCGTTTGTAAGTATATTGCAGATTAAACTAATTTTATCTTATTAAATGTTTTATTTTTATAGACTCGCATCGAACGTCGTTGAACGCTGTTAATGATTGAAAATCTATCGAAATTTCGACTCGCGCGCATGCAAGACATTGATCCACGATCAATCGCGGCTAGAGCCGCATGTACATTGTCTTTCCCCGCGAGCGGAGACATAATTCCGACGCCTGTATACACCTTTACAGGCATAGGCTTTTCTCGTTTATCTTGCACACGTCACGACCACAATTTTCTTCTTCGACTTTTTATAAACCTAATCGTATGTATAGTGTATATATATATATATAATATGCATACCTGTATATACGTGTGTGTGTATGTGCGTGTGTGCGCGCGCACGTATGTATAAATATGCGATGCTCGAGCTCGAACGCATATGTACTACGTATACACGCATATAAAATAAAAACAAATACTAGGCCTTATTTTTTACCTGATCTTTAGGCTACCGAAGATGAGTGAAAGCTGTGAAGTATAAAAATGTGTCGCAGTGCTCCTGGTTCCTGTGTACAGTTACGGAAAACCGTTAACGACGCCGACGCACGGTACAAATTGGAGAAGTATCGAAACACGCGCTATCGATCGACCGTCGCCGCGTTCGCCGATCCTATTTTATTGTTGGATAAGTTCGGTTCACGAACGATCGTTTAAAGAACACGAGAAGGTGGCTCGGTTCGGTCGCATGTCGATCGCGCGTTCCAACTGCGTGTCCCGGCGGCGGAGATAATCTTTAAGATCAATATCGTCGTATGTGAACTGTTTGAAAGTTTTCGGCGTCCTCGCTTCTGTGGTGGACAAGGGTGCCATTCGATGGAGCACGGAACACATGTACGAGCGTACACAGCGTACGTACAGTAGCGGCACCATGTCCGCAGCTGTCGTGTATGCTACGTTACAAATTACAAACCGTGTGATCTTGTCGAGGGTGAATGAATCGAGCAGAGAAAAACACCGTTGTCTTCCGATGCTTCCTGACTACTCGCGACCGTGTCGATGACAACGATGATACCGTATTTTTATCAAGGATCGATACTTTTTTAAAGTCTGTGCGTCCATGTGTCAAAAGTGAATGTATAGGCAATTTCATTGTTCGAGATGATAATTTAATGTCGATATATTTTGCACAGATCATTATTAATATTAATAAAACGATTGACATTATGACTGTTTTACTGGCTCGTTCGATGCGCGATCTCTGTAGAAGATGATCTCAGGACGACGACGTGTCGCTCGCATCGATATCGGACGATTGCGATTCAGAATTTATTTGTTCACACATTGCAGAAGATTATACGGAGGATGACGAGAAGGTATGAAATGGAACGGTGTATTTTGTTTTTGGGAACGTTGCTCAGTTTTATTAAAAATCATAACACCGATGATCGTTGTACAATTACATTAGATAATTTATCCCGCATTAAATAACTGAAATACTGCATACGAATACATATTGCCTGTGCTATTTCCTACACGTTCTTTTGCAATCGTAAGTACGTAAGCAGATACGTTTACGCAGAGTTCGTGCAATACGAGACAATGTTAACGGTAAGATCTATATGAGTGATGGTTCATTATTATCTTTGTTCTTAATCAATATCTTTATCGATGATCGTTCTAAATCGTTGAAAAGCAATCGCGTAACACGTGATGACAATCGTCAATCGTGAGACGTTGACCGTCACAAAAGTATGTACGAAGAAGACCTGAGGTTTCCAGGCGAACATCCAACACGTACGTATTCTGTTCACACGTGTGTGCGAAGTTCACACGTGTGTTTCGAGCGAATGAGCGCGGTTTAACGCGCATTACTATTGCACGTATATACATACATATAGGAATAACGTACAAATAGGGACGATCGAATGTGAGAAACGAAAAATATTCGAAGCAATTAGTCTCTTACAAAATTATGGATCGTGCTTCATCGAGATACTGCAACTTCTCTTATACTGATTCACGCCACCGTCGCTACGTCTAACGATTCGAAGGCGCGTATGGGCGCGTATACGTCGAAGCATGGCACGGCGTAATGTACAGCTGCGTACAGCAATAATCAAATTACTGTACAGCATGTTTCGCGCGGATAAACGGGCACGTTTGTCGTTGTATCGTCGTCGAAGTGAACCGTCGTTCATCGATCGGTATCGATAGAAGAACGAGTAACGTTCGAACAAGAAATTTTTTCAAGCCTGACTCCGATCAAGTATGTCCCGCGAACCACCGTTTCGACTATTAAACGATTACTGACTTCTCAGACTCCGAATAATTAGATTGCGTGTAATTACACTGCCGCTACTAATCGTAAGATTCGTTATTCGATGACTGGTTAGAAAGTTTACAGCAAACGGACTGAAAAGATGCGATATACCTAGCCTACTGTTTCACATTAGGAAATGTACGATGAAACGAAACTGACGATCAACGTTTGTTAAGTGCATGAATGATGCATGTTATTCTGTTTTAGGCTAGAACAGCCGAACCTGGACGCACACCGAGAGAAGAGACATTCGTGTCGCTGTTTATACGACGACTCGTCTCGTACGTGGTTCAGGTAAACCGAAATGATTGTTAAAACTGTATCACGTTCAGTGAAACCAGGAGTGAGGCGAATTTTTTTTAAGAAATATCTTACGAGCAATCGCTTCCTCTAGGCGCAGCTATTATTGATACTAAAAATCTGTCAGGCTCTTTCGAGTAGCTAACAAGCGACTGGAGAATGATTTTCTCGCTCCGTTCAACGGCAGCGGGCGCTGGTCGATGATACGATACGATATACACACGTATTTGGTATACCTGTGGACGCATCCCCGGACCCGGTGGAGTCACGTATGTACGTAGTATGATCGTCCCTTCGTTGATCGCGCGGCGACGACGACGACGACTGTCCGGCCGAGAAGGTGTGTTTCGTTAACTAACGTAATCGGTATCTTCGCTGGTCTCGCCCTCGATATCGTCCGCCGTCGTGTTTTGACGACAATGATATACGTACGCTCTCGTCGATATGCTTTCGCCAGAGCGTACACACTTGTAAGTTTCGTCTGGGCATTTGCACCTGTAACGACGATCGAACGTACGGATAGACGCGACGAGTACTTCTCGCATAACGTCGATCGCGAGAAGAACGAGAAGAAAGCGAAACAGATTTCGCCTGCGACTCACGTGTTTGCCATGAAATCGTTGTGAACCCTTCTGGTGGGCGAATAATAAGACATCCAGCCGCACGGATTATTTTCGTCACAGTTTCTTACTGGACGTTCGTCGTTTTCCGTCGAACGTTGTGTTCGTACGTTGTCCGGGTGCATGTTCACGATCTTTTGTAATTGTTCGGAGAACTCCTGTGAGAGAACAAAAAAAAATATCGTGTAACATCGTTTCCCTCCCGTCGAAAAGATCGTTCGAGGCGAGATCGAACGAAAGAGAGTAGGCGCGCGGTAAACGTCGAATACGTTTACGTATCTTCGAGTGGTCGTTTCGTCTCCCGTGCAACGAATCGTCGATCTTACGATCACACGGTCACATTATGTAAGATGGCACGATGGATCGCGTGCGTAACGACAATGTAACGTTTCGGTTCAGTTTATCGATCAGATTTGATTCGATGAACGCGATTGGATCACGATTGAACCTTACCTCCGATCTGACTACCGCACTGTCGACGAAGCTGTCGAGGACAGTCAATAGAGCCGCTAAAAGAAGCAGCTTCATCCTGCTCTCGATACGAGATCGACTGCTCGCGATTTCCTCGACGAAAAGTTGACGAGTTTCGAGACGTGGAATTCGGTGTCAGTCTTCGGGTTTCGGATGGTCCTCTTCTGCCAGTCGATCTTAAATTCTCTCTCTTCTTCCGTTTTGCCCAGTGTGAACCTCGAGGGAGACCGCGAGGGTGCCGCGCGCACTGACCCAACAGCTAAAGCGGAAAGGTCGCTGCCTCTCGGGGAACGATCGTGATCCACGCGAAGCTGTCTCTCTGGCCCTTCCGCACGATCGTCGTCGGTTTTCGCAGAGTCGAAGCGCAAACGATCCAGAATCGTCGGTGTCTCTCGTACCGTGCGACAAACGCGTTGTCCCGTGGTGCTTCCAACTTTATACGTGGCCTAACTGTCTCGTATAGAATGAAGAGACTTGCGAGATGCCACGGGTTTATATAGGCCGACTGAGCCTAGTAGCTGCTGCGGCGGAGTGCGGGTGGGGAAGTGTTTCTCCTGTTTCGTCGGCCGATTCGAAGATCGTTCATGGGGTTAATTTCATGCTACCTCCGCTGCTCGATTCAGGATTCAGTGGAAAAAAATAGCTGCGTCTGCGTCTCGTAGAGGAGGACCGGGACCGACCGGACCGAGATCGTGGACGATGAAAACGTCGCGGGACGGGGGGGCGGTACGGCGGCGAGTAATTCTCGAGTTTACGTGTTTTCGCGTTTCAAATTTTCGCGAGGCTCGCTCCCACGGACGTCCCAACAGCACCGACGACAGAGAGACGCACGTGAGTCAGAAGTTCAGGGGCTCGACGGGGGCTTGTCAGCATCTCGGCCAATGGCGCAACGCTTTACACATGACGTTCGATCGCGAAGGACACGATCCATCGAGGCTCGCTCCGATCGCACCACCGTCAATTTCGCATCGACCACATCGAGCGTGGCCCGAACGAGTCTCGCCTTCGTTTGCTTCACGGGACCCCGGTGGTATCAATGAGAAGCGAACTTGAAACCATCTTGTCTCCATTTCGTCGTTTCATACTTGACGCGTTCTCCACGTTCCACGTTTTTCCTACAAACGCATCCATGCCGTAATTTATTTCTAACAAGTATGCATGTATTCGCCCGACTCCTCGCCTATCCAAATTTTATGAACCGGAACTCGCGTAGGCATTGGGTCATCGGCAAAGCCGCGTACCGATGATTCTCGCTTGATCGATTCGTGATCGACCTTGTTAATATAATCGGTGACAGGTTTCTGCGACGGTTACCGGCTGCTGATTCGGCTAAATCGTTACGACTGCGTTTTTAGGATGTCACATGTCCGATTGTTCCAGCGTTGCGAAATTTTCCATGTGTATGCCATAACGGCACGCGTAAGGAGGGGTCCGCGCCGAAATGCTTCTTAGCTCGAATAACACGGAGTCATCATCGTCGTTCGTCGGTGCAAGCCGTTTCGATGCGTTTCCTTTCGAAGCGGCACAACATCGTTGCTACCGATGTATTAGGCGTTTAGATTTATTTCATCGGAACGATCGAAGGCCGTTTGGTTCTATCGAGGAGAATCATGCTCAGGTTCGTCGATCATTTTTAGCGACTGTGACAGCGTAGGACGTTCACGATGCGAATTGTTCATCTTACAAGTAGAAGCTCGGCGAAACGGTAGCTATACGAAGCTGGTAAAACTCGCAACATCGGGAACGTTTACCATTAAAAATAAACGGTGTAATTTTCTTTTGGCTGGTTGCCTGCCGCCGCCGTGCCTGCCTTTTAAACGACGCGATTCAATAATAAATGACGCGATGCTCTTGAACGCGTTCTTTCTCTTCTCCCTCTTTTCCTTCTCAACATTTAAATCGTTTCGATTTTTCAGTCGTTGGCTCCAACAGGTTGCGCGCGTTCCGACAAACTCAGGCGAGCTCGTGCGAACGGTGCGATTCCTTTTGAAATTTTCATAGCTCGCCTCGGACGTATGTAATTGTACCGAGAGAATTACGCGCGATCACCGTGCGTATGCCTCGCTCGATTTACGTGGTCTCGAACGCTCCAATAGCTTCCCGTTTCCGATGCCGCGAATACGTGCTGCTTTCTCATAGTAGTTTCGTTCGTCGTGTGACATCGGTCACGAAGGATAACAATTTTCTGGGCATTTCGAGGAATGACAGTCCTACCGACGATTCGACGTCGCGATTCGACGGCGAGGTTTCAAATCACGAGCGTTACTTCGATCTCGGTCTATTCGGGTAGAAGAGATACACACGAGAGATTCGTGAATGAAATACGCGTTGAGCCGTTCACCAAACCTGACGCTATCGCGAAAGTGATCACGTTTCGGTTCTTTTGTCACGGGCAACTCGAGAGCCGTCTGGTAATTTGTCACAATCTCCCTGACGACGCGGGCAACGTTCACGAAGCGTGCAACAATTCCTGGAAAAAGGATCGTCGACCATAGAGTCAATTATGGGTAACTCGGGTGGTAGGGAACGAAACGAGTCGCACGAGCCTGCAAATTATTCTGTAACCAATGCGAACAGTTTAAATCGGCCGCTGGTACGCTCAAGGAGGGAGCGGTTGATTTTCAAAAGTCTCGAACAATGAATGAAAACGACGCGCGTCACGTGTTTTAATTGAACGCGATACAGAGACGTCGGTTAATGACAGTTCCCACCCCCCCCCTCCCCCGTCTACCGTTATCGTTCCTGGCGAGCGAGCCCGCAGATCGATTTCCGTTATCGCTCGCTCACTTTTTCATTCTCGTCCGAGGCAAAAAGTTTGACCCCCCTTCTTCTCGAGCGTAAGTGGAAAATGCCGGCTTCGAAAATTTCATCGAATCGGCCCCGTCTGCCGCGCCGCCGCCGGTTTCGAACGAAGCCGATCCGAGTGACGCACGCGGCTTCTACGAAAAATGAACACCGGGGGTGGAAGTCGACGGAGAACTACGCACAAGGCGGCACGTATCTGTTAGATAACGAGTGATTAATCTCGACACGCGGCGGGCATTGATTAAACGTCGAACCAGTGCGTGTGGCGCACCGCTTTGGTCGATAAATCGGCGATAAAGGGGCACGCGGTTAACGCGAGTCGAGAAAAGATTCGGAAGTCGAACGAAACTACGCATCGTCGGAACAAAGATCAATGAATCGGTTCCTCCCATCATACGATTCACGTCCTACGCGCGGCTGACGCAACTCGCTCCTCTCATCGGTCATCGAGTTCTGTTGACTCGTGACGACAGACGACCGAGGACCGGAGGATCGAGCTCGACTCGTTGTACGTTCGACAAACGTTCGACGTACGACGAAAAGGAAGACGACGACGGCGTCTTCTTGACCCGGTGGTCTTCGACCGTTCGGTCGTGAGCAAAGCGTTGGCCGAGTCACAGACGGCGCGGCGCGGCGCGGCGCGTCGCCGTTTATTCGTGTCCGTGATAGAACGTTGGGTTGCACAGGTGCGTCCCGCGATGCTCCGTACTTGCCGTTCGGAACCGAACGACGTTTCGTATGCGACGCTGAGCTAAAGCGTAAATCGAACAAGAACGATGTCCTTTCCGTTGCCGCGTGTCTACCGACGACGAGAAGAGAACGTGGGAGTGCCAGATATGGGCCAACGCTATTTTCGCTCGAGTCATCTCCGTGGCAGACGAACAGCAGCGGCGAGGGTAGCTCGGCTTTTTGGCCTCCCGCGACCCGTGCCAAAGTAATAACTACCGTTAAGACCCGTCGCGTTCGACGCTCGTCGTCGGCGGCGGCGACGGCGGCTGCCGTTATACGTGGACGCGCGGTTACCAGCGGCGCCAGATTCGTCTCGATACGAAAAGGTGGAGAAGTAGGGAAAATGAAACGAATGGGTGACTACGTCGGGACGATTGGTCGTACTCACGTTCGCCCGTAACGACGAACCGAAGTGCGAATGTTCGACGGTGGCAGCGACGGCAGCGTATCGCCGCTGCTGCGTCGCGTACGATTTACGCGTATTTATCTGACCAAACGAGACGCCGGCGCCTCAGCGAGCCGAGGACAGGATATAAAGAAATCGGAGGGAGGACGCCGTCGACTGGGGCGCGGCGTCCACCCTTTTCTCGCGAAGATATTGGCAACAGGAGGCGATACCTTTTCGACTCAACGGCCGCCGATCCTAAAACTGTCGGCGACGGCGGCGGCGACGCCGCGTCGTAATGTTCTCTCGTTTTCACTCGCGGACTCGTCGCTGCTCCTTTTTTTATAAATCCGATCCGACCGCCGGAAATAATACGATCGCGTTCACACTTTTTCCCTCGACACCCGCCCCGCTCCGCCGTGGCGCCAGCTTCATTCTTCCTCTCGTCCTCCGCATTCTACCGCATACGTTATTATTTCGGATCGTTCCTCTCGATGCCGTTTGGCCCAACAGTCGAAAGACACCTATCTCGCTGCGATCTTCACGTTTCTTCCTCCAGATTTCTTTCCCGTTGTCTCTTCTTCTGTTTCTTCTATTGTCGTATGCCAACCTAACATACATAGATAACTGTTTCAAACCCTAACTTATCCTGTCAACATCCAGCTGTACATCATCCTACACTTTGTACTCTGCGTCATTTTTAATTTTCGATTTCTGCTTACCAACCGTTACTAATTCCAGTCCCCCTCCGCTATTCGCTATTCCGAGAGTATATATATATACGTATTTTCCTAAAATTTGAGAGAGAGAGAAAGTTCTCTCTAGTCTAAAGTCACGAAGCTCTACGTAAACTTTACCGAGTTAATAAAACTTTCGCGTAAATCTCCATTCGGGATTGATTCTTATTCAATATAATAAACATCACCTCTACGGAATACAACACTATTTTCACCGTACGTTGGCGAAATTTGATTTAGAGACAAAGATTCGATGACTTGGCCGTGTGCGACTTGAAACGCGATTATGTCGAGCCGTTGACACGTTTAACGGCACGTGGCTGGTTGCGTCTCTCGTCGATTCGACAGAATGTCTCTCGTTCGTCGTCGACGAGAGCTTAGGGCGACCTGGTAGCAGCTAACCCCAGGCGCCATCGAACTACGAACGTCCTTCCGACACGATCCGTACCCTCTGGTGACTCGCGCTCGGTCCGCGATCTCGTCGCGTCGCGTCTCCGCGGGGTTGTTTCGTCTGTCCATGAAATTTATGCGTAAAAAATTGGATGCGGACGAGAAGACGGTGAGAGCGTGTCCACTGCGTGGGTTAGGCTAAATCGGTTACGCTGAATCAACGGGCGGCACCGGAGAGGAGACAGTCCCGAGTACGCGGAGAGACGCGTCTAGACGCACAAATCGCCTGCCGGCAGACACGATCGGTTCCAAAGACCACCCGCTTCTTAGGAAGCTATAATTAAATAATGGACGACTATCGATCTTGCCTGCGCGCGACGAACGTTTCGCGCGGAACAAGATCGAGTTCTCGTAAGCGTCGGCGGCCGAGGCTATTTAAAAATCCTTCGCGTCGTCGACGTCATCGGTGGTAGACCGCGGATTTGATGAATTTATCGATCAAAGATCGAACGTGCAGAAAATAGAAAGTAAAGGAGAGATCGGAACGAGTTGAATTGGCGAGGGCTAAAAGTTTTGGTCGGAAATTCGAGGTGTACGCGACGTCGACCGTGTCCCCGACGACGAATCGGACGTGTCGCGTGGCTGACGTGATCTTACGACCGACGTGACAGCCGACGCGGTCTGTCTCACTGTCATCGCGTGCCGTCGTGCAAATTCTGTTGTTCCTCTCTCTTTTTCATCTGAACAAGCACACCGTTTCGACGAATTTTCATTTGGTCGCCAGCGAGGGAACCAGCGACGTTCCCTTCACGATCATAGATTCTTGTTGTTCGTCTGTTATTACGAAGGTCCATCGCGAGAGTGTCACCTAGTATTTTTTTTCGCTCCCATCGATCAGTAGTACCTCAACCCAACGATCACGCTTCGCGTTACATAGTTTCGACGGTCGAACGTCAATCGTCTCAACGAGGGAACAATTTGTTTGTCACGAACGCGCTCGTAGCTGCGCATAAGAAGCCGAAAACGTCACGACGATCCGATCAATTGTCGACGGTATCGAATTATCATTTTATTTTTCTCAGCGACCGGCCGCGCGGGTCCAAGGCTCAGTATTTTCCACGAATTCGTCGCGGACTCGGACGTCGGCGCGTCTAAAGTGCAATTGTGCACGCTGCACCCTACACGCTGCAAACGATTCCTCCGTCAGACCGATCATCGCAACGTTGCGTGATCTCGGACATACGATCGATCGATCTCGATATTTCGTACCTATCGTCGAAATAACGAAACCAACGGATCATAGGGCTCGCGATCTTTAACTGTCTAGATCTGTCGAGGGGTCGAAACAATTCCGACTTCCGCATTTCTTATGATCATTATTCGTTTCCAGTACATTCTGTTTTCTGAAATTTTGTATGACCTTTTTCTAAAATATGCNCGACAGAATGTCTCTCGTTCGTCGTCGACGAGAGCTTAGGGCGACCTGGTAGCAGCTAACCCCAGGCGCCATCGAACTACGAACGTCCTTCCGACACGATCCGTACCCTCTGGTGACTCGCGCTCGGTCCGCGATCTCGTCGCGTCGCGTCTCCGCGGGGTTGTTTCGTCTGTCCATGAAATTTATGCGTAAAAAATTGGATGCGGACGAGAAGACGGTGAGAGCGTGTCCACTGCGTGGGTTAGGCTAAATCGGTTACGCTG